ACTACAAGCCCCAGGATCACGTTGGATGTTACCATAGCAACTTAATTGGAAAATAGCACTGTACAATACAACTCCCATATCTAGCGATTCAGTCTCTACCCACAAATAATCATCCTAGAGTTGTTTATGGGCCTCTCTGGGTCCTCCAGTGTGTCTATACTATACTTCTAGTCAATGTATAGGGTTCAGTATTTCATTGGTTTCAGGTATCCACAAGGGGTCTTGGACTGTATCTCCCATGAATATGGGGATATACTGTATTTGTATATTGCGAATGTACCCCAGGGCTTCTCTTGTCTTGAACTTAATATCTAGAACTTGAATGGGGTTATCCAGATGAATCCACCTTCTGGGTTTTTCATCCTGAAAGTTTGAAATATCTGTCCTAATATTTAGACATTGACAGTTGAAGCTTCAAGTTAAAATATGCACTAAGACTCCCATGAATGTGAAACCCATATTCGTGGTCTCATTTATTAAGACCTTTGGGGGAACTATCACTCTAGGAATGTGCTAGGTCCTCAAAGTTCCCATGGAGTCACCCTGGAGGACATAGCATGCTCTCTAGGAATTTCTAGATCCTCCAGGGTAAATCCTATTCTAAGACCAGACATCTAGTAATTTAACTGCAGCCCAGCCAGGACTATATCCTCTGTGGAGGGACTTCCTGAACAGGTTTTATTTTATATTGCTCTGACTGTTTTGGGACCTATCTCATAGGTATTTATACAAAATATTTTATTCACCAGTGGGTATTTTTAAAAATGTCTGCTCTGGAGGAATTAGAAAGCACTCCCTCTTTTTCTAATTTAATGTTCCTGAAAAGTAAATCATAGCAAAGTGCCATAAATAAATGACAAGAGCCAAAATTAAACCTTACACCCAATCTTCCCCAACCTACTATCCTGGAGATATATTTGATTGCAGGTCCCATCACCTTGGTTAGTATTTTATGTCTCCACAATATGTATTTGAGTATAATATCTTTAAAACATGTTGAATGGGGATATGTGAGTTGTAATCAAACACATTTTCAGGGACAACTGTGTGTGGGGTACCAGGTTCATGAAGATGCTTTAGATATGCTCCCCACAGCATGGAATTAATGGTATTAAGCATTGAAGGAAACATGAAAACATCCTGGCTCCCACATGGGACCCTGCTAACCAGACAACACTGAGATTTATTAAGATACCATCCTTCATCAGTATCCATTAAAGTGGTTGTTCAGTGGCATTAGGACTGTCTAGGCTTGTCTCTTATGGGACAGGTGTTTCTTCAAATCGATTGATACCACCTTCAATTGTTGAAAGAAGCCAGCCTTTGCAACTGGTTTTGTTGAAACTTGAATTGCCAGGTGTCAGCAGCAAATCTGTGAGCACACTTTTGTTTCCAGTTTGTGTATTCAAGCCTGATTATTAGCACTGGCTGGTGTTGTTGAAAGATTACATTTTGGAGGAAGGTGGTGAACTGCTAAAATCTCTATTGTGTGGTTAGTGGAAACTCATTGACACTACTCTTGTCTAGTGATAGATTGCGTCAAATGAGATGTGCCTGAGGCCACCTTACAGGGCTCCCCTGTGCAGTTTTATTCAGCAATAATTGATCTTACATTGAGGAAGACATAGTGTATATGCTAATAGAGAAGTCAACATATCAGTGGGTCAAGCACTATATCTTAATTATACTGTATTCTTGTTTGTTTGTTTGTTTGTTTTAAAAAAAACTTCAAAAACTTGTCTTTTGCTGAATAGAGTGCAGAAAAAGTCCATTTCTGATGCAGTGCTGCTTCTGGTCTTTTTGAGTACCAGAAGTGGTATTCTGGTGGTGGTGCCCCTGAGGCAATACTGGCACTTTCCACTTTGTTCAAATCATATCACAAGTCATATCAGTATTCATAGTTTTGTCCCCTAAAACCTGTACTTGACTTACACATGAGATTTGACTTATATATAAGCATATATGGTACTTCATGTATCTGTTAGTTACACTTACTGCTTGCCTCTTCTCTAAGGGATTATAGACATTGTCCTCCTCTCCATGCTTTCTGAACATGTGTCCAGAAATGGATTTATCACACCTGGACGAAAAGAATGCATTGTTTTCAGTGTGGATGCAAACATTAAATTGTGATTCACCGGAGCTTAGTTTGAGCTGTGTGTGTGGTTGTATACAGTCCAATAATAATACTTCAGCTATCCTTAAGCCCTGCTGAATTTGTTGGACGTAAGTTCTTGATTATGGGTTGAATTACCTCTTTTGTTTCTTCTTGTGTGCATGTGGACAAAGAAATTTGAGGGACAACACTTTTTTACTGAAGCTATCACAGAACATATGATGAAACAGAGTTGAAACGAATGCTGTGATAATAAGTAAGAAGTTTTCATCATATAAAACCTTTCTTTTAAAGACTGGTTTTGTGGAGTTTTAGTATGCTTTGTTCAACATCAGAGGCCCTGCCATGTAAACTGCACCACAGGAGAAGTATGTTAAGAGTGGAGTCTACTTTTGATTTCTCTCTCCATGTGGTTGACTAGGAACCCTCCATTTCACTGGATTTTCCCTCCCCCCTTTTTTATTGAGACTTCTCCTGTTTTGTTTGTTTGTTTGTTTAAGCATTTTCCTTCTGTTCCAGAGATGGCTTGATTTTTAGGCATCTTGATTTGGAAATGTCAGTTGCAGAGATTTTCTGTCTCTTGATCTGTATCCAGTTATTCTTACTAACTAGACCTTTGGAGAAATATGGAGGTGGGACATCTTTATTTCTTCTTCATGGTCATCTGTGCTTCACACAAATGGATTTTTATGCTTGCGCAGTGACCCAAGTGGAATGTGCCAGAGTTGAATAGTTTGGAGGTAATTCTGCTCCTTCCATCTACCACACATGTCCACACCAACTGGACTAATTGTCCCCCGAATTTCTCTTTGTCCACCAAGAATAATTTATTTTGGAGTGTTCTCTGTGTTGAGTAACCTACCTTCATCTTTATTCGATTTATGTCATTAATTCCTTGTCTTTTGTTTCATTGATATCCCCCTTCTCCTTCAAGCCTCTCAAGGTGATGTACTTGGTCCACATTCCTATTTTAATCTTAGCTACCACCCCATGAAGTAAAGTAGGTTGAGAGATAGTTTATGAATTTCATGGCTGAATATGAATGTAGACCCCAGATCCATTCATAATGTATAATTGTTGTACAATTTGTTCAGTTTTAACAGTGAATGGAAACACCCAAGGAAATGCTGGGATGTGTGGCTGGTTGAGACTTCTCACCATCTGATTCATAGAATGTTGCTTTGGCAGTAAAAATGGAATAATACCATTATAATTCTGTAGTGTGAATGGGCTCCAGTTTCCCCAAATCCTTATCGAAGACCTCAACCACTGTATCATAGTAGATATTGGTTTTTTTTCTATTGATTTAGAGTGGTGGTAGCAGCATTTTATCACTCTTCTATTCTCCTGTATTCAAAGCAGTTTACAATCAGTATTCCATAGCAAGGGAAGGCAGATATTCCCAGCCCTAAGCAGTTTGTTTCTCCAATTCTGTCACAGCTACTATACCCATGGCCTTTATTTTCATTATGGTGGAATAGTGTGCCAACAGGAATCCAACCATAGATGCTCTTTATCTCCACATCTGCAACCACAAATTTGTGCATATTGTGGATGGAATTCAACTAACTACCAAAGAGTCTGCTGCATAGAGATTGACCTTCAATGTCTCGTATTTGAGGAACCCTAATTTTGAAGCACAGCATTTTGTCTATATTTGAATCTCCTGCTTGTACAACCCACCTAAGAATTAAACTGGCTTATTTATTTATTTTGTTAAGCTGATCTGTTACACTTTTTTTTTTGGCGAAGTGTCCTAGTTTGGTTATCTGATCGCTGTCCTGCTAAGGAATTTGCTAAAACAAAGAAGCTTTTTTCATGTAGAATGAGTGAATTCATAACCCTTTCATTGTTTCTGTTTGCATTCCAATGTTTCAGTGCTTTCTCCTTGGTTTGTGATACCTCTAAGCTGGCCGTATGTGTAGAGGAGAGCATTGCTGCACCTTCAATAAATAGTTGTGCAGACAGGGGATTTTGGGCAAGTGTGATTTTCCCAGACTGACTTGGAAACGTTGAATCTAGGAGGCTTGCCTGTATGTGTCCTGCCACTGAGCCACAGTTCCTCCTCTGTCCTTGTATGTTTACGCACTGTTTTGTTCTGCTTAAATAGTGCTTTAAAACTATATCTAATCTGAAATCTAATATAACCTGAAATCTAAGAAATTAGCACCTACATTACCTTTATGCAGAATTCCAAATAAAGCATCCTTTATTCCAACTTCCAGAATCCCAAATTATCCATATCAGTGGTTAAGATAGTGCCATCTTTGATTCCTGATGGTTCGGTGCACACAAACTGTGGTCCATGCATAAGAGTAAAATATTATTTGAAGAGTATATGAAACATACATTAATTTCATGTTTAGGCTTGAGTTTCGTCTCAAAGCTGTCCCACTATATCCTCCTATGCGATACAGGTATTCTATCTCAAAGCTGTCCCACTATGTACTTATATGCAATACAGGCATTCCAACATCCAGAAAAATCCAAAAACCAAAACACTTCTGGTCCCACAGGGTTTAGCTGCAGTTTCACTTCAAATGAGCCTGTTCCCACTTACATACAAATTCAACTTAATAATAAACCTGCAGAACCTATGTTGTTTGTAACTTGGGGACTACCTGTACTACACTGTCTCTTTTTAGTGGAATACTTTGAATATCATGTATTCTCTTTTTATTATTATTTATCCCACTCCTGTTTCATTTTTAAATTGTAGCAGTTGATGAGGAGGGCAAGATATTTGGGAGAGTATTTTTTTTATAGCATTTTACGTAAACAAGAATAAGCTAGAGAACAGATGTGCTGATTGTTTGTGTATGCATTTTTAAATGAAAGAAAAAGCATTAGAAATATGATTACAATGAATTTCTTTCTTATTTAGGTTTGGATGATTGCCTGCAGCAATATGTCACAAAATTTGAACGAGAGAAGATAAATGGAGCTCAGCTGTTACAGATTTCCCACCAGGATCTCGAAGAGTTGGGCATCACCCGGATTGGACATCAGGAGCTCGTTTTAGAGGCTGTGGACCTTCTCTGTGCACTGGTCAGTTTACAGAATGAATAAATATTAAAATCACCCCTCTTTTCCCCACCCTTTGGTTAATGGAAGTGTTTGACAAAAGGGAGATGGTTGCATATTTCCCAATGAAAGGAAAGGCATGTTCATGTAAAGAGTTTCATTTTCTTCCAAAGCATTTATCAAATGTTAAGATTTTAGAAAGGTTAGGCTCCTTTAAATATTGGAGTGCTAGAAAAATTGGTGATTAATTGAAAAAAGGTTGCCCTGAGGCAAAGACATCATCCCACTCTGAAGTTTTTCTACTTGAACGTAAGAAATCCTCTTAACTTTGGTCCTGTGATCCAAGATTACCCAGACATTTTAAGTACATTGTTTGTTTATTTGAGATGTTTGGTTGTTCACTTCCCAACATAGAGGAGCTTTTGCTGACCTTTTATTTATTTTGTATCAAAAGCATTGCATAAAATAGTATAAAACTGATAAAAATAGAAGGAACACAAACGGCCAAATGTCTTTTGGCCAAAAACAGGTAACAGCGACCGCATTGTCTGTAGCCTCAAACAATTCTTCCTCTGTACATGAGGCAGGACATTGCGGACAGGCATACAGATGAGGAATTGTGTGTTCTGCTCCACTGACGCACAAGGTGGAGGATTCTTTTAGGTAGTGCCATTTTTCTAGGTTGTCTTTTGATCTACCCACTCCAGTTCAGTCTCTCTTCAGGGACTTCCAAGTTGCCCATTCTTGGTTTGCAAACACTTGTGGTTGGGGGGGGGGCACCTGGTTGGAATTTCCTGCCTAGAGGGATACTCTTGCTGTTGCTGGGGGAAAGTTAAGAGGAGTCGTGGTTCTCATGAAGCTGACCTGGGTATGAATGCACAACTAAAACCTTACCTTCACCAGTAAATCAGTCTATTCTTCAAATGCTTGATCCCACAGCCAGGATTTGAGTTTCTTCTGGAAGGTCAGGAAGGATGGGGCAGATCTTATCTCATTAGAGAGGAAGATCCACAACTGATGGGCCACCACAGAGAAGGCCCTGTCTCTTGTCCCGACCAAACGCGACTGTGATGACAGTGGGACCAAGAGTAGGGCCTCGCCAGACGATCTTAAGGTCTTAAGGTCCTTGGTGGTTCGTAGAGAGAGATACGTTCAGACTGGTAAACTGGACTGGAACTGTTTAGGGCTTTATAGGCTAAGACTAGCACTTTGAATTGTGCCCAGAAGCCAATAGGCAGCCAGTGGAGCAGGCGTAACAGGGGAGTTCTGCGCTCCCTGTACCCCACTCCTATGAGCAACCTGGCCGCCAAGTGTTGAACTAGCTTAAGCTTCCAAGCAGTCTTCAGAGGCAACCCCACGTAGAGTGCATTGCAGTAATCTATTTGGGATGTAATCAGAGCATGGACCACGGTTCCCAAGTCATATCACTCCTTTCTGCCAGCAGTGGGACTTATAAATTGTTAAAACCATATAAAAGCATCATTAAAATATATACATGGAAACGGTTTTTTTTAAAACAGCAGTGACTCAATCTGTAGAGCTATTTAAAATACACTAGGATTCAGTATTAAAGATCAGTTCGGCCTCACAACGCACCAATAAAAGTTTATTGTAGACACGTGGATGGAATAGTAAGTTGCCTGATGAAGGAGAACAAATAGGGTATCTTCCTAATCTGTTTAGGGAGGAAGTACCAAAGTCTGGGAGCCAACACTGAGAAGGCCCTCTTCTTTGATCTCAACAAACAACCCTAAATACATTTTGAGACAGAGAGAAGGGCCTCTGATCCTATCTTAGAGCTTGAACAAGTACACATAGAAGGAGATACGGTTCTTCAGATAGCTGGAGTCATATAAGGGGCAAATCCAACACTTTGAATTGCAGCTCATTACAGTAATCCACATGGGATGTAACTAAGACCTTGTTGCTATAACCAGATAAAACCTTTCCAGTAGTGAGTGCAGTAGTGAGTGCATATTCTTCTTCTGCAATACCATAGCTTAAAACCTCAATAAACTAAAAACAGCAAAATAAGCAAACATACAAAATAGAACATCCATCCCCAGTTTTAAGAGCCATAGACCAGGCAAAGTAGCAAAGTCTTCTTAGTTGTTGTCAAAAATATTAGCAGTTTGCTTATTTCCTTTTTAAATGAATTTGACCTCTAGTTATCTTTGCTGATTTTGAGGAGGGAAAATGTTGAGGAGATTCTTAACTCATCAACTCATTCATGTATACTGTACTACATAGGTATTAAGAAGGCAAACTAGAATAATTCTCTCCTTTAAAAAATGACATAAGATATTGTCAGGTTCTATGCAGTCATAAAATCCCTGTTCATGTGGAAGTGACTCTATTCCGGTTAAGGAACTAGGTATCCAAAAACAACAAAACACACAGAAACTTCTGTTATTTCCCAAATAAGCAGGAAGTTTTTCTTCTTTGTTGCAGCAGTATACAAAGTATACAAACTTTACTTCTTCTTCCTCACTATTCAAACCAATAATTCTCCAATACACTCTCTAAACCTCCATCTGTCCCTCATCAAACTTACTCAGTATAACAACCTATATGTTGCTCCTACTGCATTGACCACTGCACCCTAATTACAATGGTTTAACTCTTTTACAGGTGGTCAGGTCAGAGGTATTAACTTTACTATCACTTAGAAAATGTCGGATATATGGCTGCCAGAGTATTGGGTTCATATCAAGATTGTCTTGCCTGGTTAGGAGCAAAAGATGTCCAGCTGTGACATGGAATTAGGTCTTTCTCCCTTAAGAGAATTGACATTTTGCGAGGCACATATTGGGCAGATAAATGAAACAGCTATTTATCCCAAGTGGCTCTATCATTCTTTGCTATTGACTTGTGCCAATCTAAGCTGGATCTAAAATGACATGCAATGCAGTTTCAGAATGCAGATTAACTGCATTGAACTGGATTATATGGCAGTAGACTCATATAATCCAGTTCAATGCAGTTAATCTGAATCTGCATTATATGGCAGTGTAGATCTAGCCCTAGTCGCTACTGTCTTTAGTTATATTGCCAAAGTCAGGCTTGCAAAGAAATGGGCTGTGAGCTGTAAAAACGAGCAAGTGTGTCTTTGAGACCTAGCAGGTAACATGGATATTTGGACTTCAGAGGGAGTATACATGAAGTAGGAATTTGTATATTTATAGGGCAGCCTCCTTCTCCTCATACCTGTCTGTATCTGAGCGTATGTCACTTTCATGCCAGAGTGACACAACTGAAAGACTAATCTTTCATAACAGAGGTGGCTCCCCTTTTTTTAGTTTCTTTCTAAACCTAACAGGATATCCTCTCTTCCCGCCCTTTGCTTTAATTCCTGTTGCATCAGAGGCATTGTGCTGGATACAGTTTACTTTATGATAGGGGTGTGCTTGTTCTGTCCACTTGCTCCATTTCTCTAAGCTGGTGCCAAAAGTGTATACAGTTTCATCAGTGAGAATGGTGGGAAAGAATTTGCTGTCACTCTGTTATGCCCTGACTCGGCTACATTCGGTTCATTTAGTAACTCTTCTTGCATTTGAATGTGTTTTTCTTAAAATGGGCAGAGCCTCTGAGGGCTGATATAAAATGTGCCCTTGTTTCAGGGGATGGAACAGAAATAATCTGTGCTTAATAAACTTGGAGTGGGTGTATGGGGAGTGAGGCGACCCATAACAAATGTATTTTGTTTGAAACAGTTGACCTAAATATACCCCACAGTCTGCATTTATTTATCGTTTCAGGAGCAAACCAAAGAGTTGTATTGTATTTAAGACACACACACAAACACATACACACACACACACACACACACAAAGTTTGATAACTTGGCATTCAATTAAATGTCCTTTGACCAGTAGCTGGCCACTTGGAGTGCCCCTGGTGTTGCTATAAGAAGGTCCTCCATTGTGCATGTGGCTGGGCTCAGACTGCATTGTAGTAGGTGGTCTGCAGCTCCACTTTGTAGCCCCATTTCTTAAGGTTGGCTCTGAATATCTTGGTGCCAGAGTGCAGTCTGTTCAGCACCTTCTAATTCGCCCAGTTTTCTGTGTGTCCAGGAGGGAGTCTCCCATTTGGTATCAGCCATTGATTGAGGTTCTGGGTTTTAGCCTGCCACTTTTGGACTCTCTCATGCTGAGGTGTTCCAATGAGTGTCTCTGTAGATATTAGAAAACTGTTTCTTGATTGGCTTGCTGGCTGATATCCAAACGGGATGGGCTGGAGATGTCACTGCCTTGCTCTTTTCACTATTGGTTGCTACTTCCTGGTGGTGCAATATCGGCTAAACAGTATAATTTCTCCAGTGGTGTAGGGCGCAGACACCCCGTGATAATGCGTCATGTCTCATTAAGAGCCACATCCACTCTTTTAGTGTGGTGAGATATGTTCCACAATGGGCATGCATACTCTACAGCTGAGTAGCAAAGGGCAAGGGCAGATGTAATCACCCACAGTCTACAATTTATAGGGTTGTGAACATCAAGATTTTTAAAAAAGTGCTTCATAAGAATTAAGCAATGGTAAACATGATCGCCCTCGGCAGCACACTGAAGAGCAAAAGAAGGACTAATATGGGAATCTAGAAGTCAGGGCCACTGACCTTCCACCATGTCATTTCAGGAAATGGGAGAGGATTTGAATTTGTACCTGGCTAATCCCTACTTAGCCATGAACTTACTGGCTGGCTCTCAGGCAAGTCTAGTTCATTCTCTCTGCAAGAAGTTTATAGTAATACATTGGCAACTGCTGTTTTGTGATAAAAGATGAAGGCGATATGAATTGCTAGTCTACTGATGTTTAGTATAGTGGTAAGCCATAAAATTGGTGGTGTGCAGCTTTCTAAAAAATAAAAAAAATCATTCCATTATCATTGGTGTGAGATCGAGGGACAATATATTTGTCTGTCTCTCCCCTGTTGCCTCATGTTGTGGGATGCATCGGCTACTGAGCTCAGCATATTATTTGGTTGAACCACATTAAGCTTTTAGGAACCTTGTTAAAGGCAAGTTGATCCACAGCTACTCAGATTAATGATTAACGAGACAAGAATGTTTGACCTTAGCATGTTCCCAGATACGTGTGCCTTTCTCTTCTTTGTGTGATGAAAAGGGTGCGTTGAGCTGAAAGGGGGCTTTGGGTCTCTTCTGTACAATTGCCTGACTGCAGCTGTGGGGAAGACATTTCCAAAAATGTGTTTGCTTTTTTGCTTTATCTCCTTGGCCAATATTGCAAATATCATTTCCCTTCATAAAATAGATTTGTCCTCACCATTATGGGCATTACCTATAATCCCCTGCCCGCATGCTAGCACCAGGCTGGGGAAGGAAGGCTGATAAGAGATGGATTGGAGAAAGGGGTGGGCACCCCTAGAGTTGTGGTACTCTTCTTGTTTAAACATACCAGATTTCCTTGTTTGTGAGGTGGGAACAGAGTTATGGGAGAAAAGTGTTAAATCTCGTAGTCTAGCCCCTTTCCTGCCATTTTTGCTCTACTGAAAACTACCAGTTGGCATGGTTTTTTGTATTGGGAAGGAAATACGTGGCTCCTTAAGACAATCCATGAATGGCTATCACATACCAAATAGCATAGCAAGTGAAATAGGATAATGGGGCTCAAGTCTGATAACTTCTGAAGGTCCATTCACGCCAGCATTTCTCAACCTGGTGGTTGGAACCCCTAGGGGGGTCATGAGGGGGGTGTTAGAGGGATTGCCAAAGACCATTAGAAAATATAGTAATTTCTGTTGGTCGTGGGGGTTCTGTGTGAGACGTTTGGACCAATTCTATCGTTGTGGGGTTCAGAATGCTCTTTGATTGTAGGTGAACTATATATCCCAGCAACTACAACTTCCAAATGTCAAGGTATTTTCCCCAAACTACACCAGTGTCCACATTTGGGCATATTGAGTATTTGTGCCAAGTTTGGTCCAGATCCATCATTGTTTGTCCACAGTGCTCTTTGGATGTAGGTGAACTATAATTCCAAAACTCAAGGTCAATGCCCACCAAACCCTTCCAGTATTTTCTTTTGGTTATGGGAGTTCTGTGTGCCAAGTTTGGTTCAATTCCATCATTGGTGGAGTTCAGAATTCTCCTTGATTATAGGTTAACTATGAATCCCAGTAATTACAGCTTCCGCATGTCAAGTTCTGTTTTCCTAAACTCCACCAGTTTTCACATTTGGGCATACTGAGTATTCGTGCCAAGTTTGGTCCAGATCCATCATTGTTTAAGTCCGCAGTGCTCTCTGGATGTAGGCGAACTGCAATTCCAAAACTCAAGGTCAATGCCCACCAAACTCTTCCAATATTTTCTGTTGGTCATGGGAGTTCTATGTGCCAAATTTGATTCATTTCCATTGTTGGTGGAGTTCAGAATGCTCTTTGATTGTAGGTTAAGTATGAATCCCAGCAACTACAACTCCCAAATGACCAAATCAACCCCCACCCCACCAGTATTCAAATTTGGGCGTATGGGTGTTTGTGCCAAATTTCATCCAGTAAATAAAAAATTGTTGTTGTTCATTCGTTCAGTCGTCTCCGATTTTTCATGACCTCATGGACCAGCCCACGCCAGAGCTCCCTGTCGGCCGTCACCACCCCCAGCTCCTTCAAGGTCAGTCCAGTCAGTTCAAGGATGCCATCCATCCATCTTGCCCTTGGTCGGCCCCTCTTCCTTTTACCTTCCACTTTCCCCAGCATAATTGTCTTCTCTAGGCTTTGCTGTCTCCTCATGATGTGGCCAAAGTACTTCAACTTTGTCTCTAGTATCCTTCCCTCCAATGAGCAGTCGGGCTTTATTTCCTGGAGGATGGACTGGTTGGGTCTTCTCGCAGTCCAAGGCACTCTCAGAACTTTCCTCCAACACCACAGTTCAAAAGCATCTATCTTCCTTCGCTCAGCCTTCCCTAAGGTCCAGCTCTCACATCCATAGGTTACTACAGGGAATACCATGGCTTTGACTAGGCGGATCTTTGTTGCCAGTGTTATGTCTCTACTCTTTACTATTTTATCGAGACTGGACATTGCTCTCCTCCCAAGAAGTAAGCGTCTTCTGATTTCCTGGCCACAGTCTGCATCTGGAGTAATCTTTGCACCTAGAAGTTCAAAGTCTGTCACGGCCTCCACATCTTCTCCCTCTATTTTCCAGTTGTCAATCATTCTTGTTGTCATAATCTTGGTTTTTTTGATGTTTAGCTGCAACCCAGCTTTTGCGCTTTCTTCTTTCACCTTGATTAGAAGGCTCCTCATCTCCTCCTCGCTTTCGGCCATCAGAGTGGTGTCATACATCCTGCATATCAGATAAAAATAAAAATAAAAATACATCCTGCATATCAGATACATACATTACAATCCATAACAGCAGCAAAATGACAGTTGTGAAGTAGCAACAAAAAGTTATGGTTGGGGTCACCGCAACATAAAAACCTCTATTAAGGGGTCGCAGCATTAGGAAGGTTGAGAACCACTGATCCCAGCTTTGTAGACATAAATATTTAAAATCAAGATCAGCCTAGATGTGTGCCTTTGTTCAGTACCCCCTTCCCTTAGCAGTACAGTTTGGAATAGTGGATTGTCATGTGTAGTAGTGATAATTGTGTATACAATTTAATGATGCAGTTACATTCTTGTTTTGTAACTGTAAGCATGTGTCCAGTCATTTTCTGTGCAGGTGCTGAGACTACAGCAGCTAAAAGCACTTTTTCTTGTTTTCTTTGAATAGGTGTAAATTGCTTGACCAAACTGTAGCTCATGTTTGAGCATGTTACATTTTCTTAGAGGAGATGTTATGAGTGTGTGAGTTCATTTGCTGGCAATTACATTCTCTTTGTTAGCAAAAGACTGTAGCTCATAGAATCTGGCTCAGAACCAGATTTGGAGTTGTGAGAGGGGAAGCAACCTAACAGAAACAAATCTCATAGCATCCTATAAAAGGCAATGGAAGAACATTACTGGAACAGCTTCTTCTGTTTGTGTACAAATAAATTGATAGGTTTATATTACTGCTGCATTTAAATGTTTACTCTGTTTAGTAAATATTGTAATGCAAAAGTGCTGAGTTGGTTTTTGTTTTGTTTTTAAAGGGAAGATTTAACTACTGACAATAGACCTTTAGGAAATTTCAAGTAGAATTGTAGGTTTAAACTATCAGATCTCAGAAACTAAGCAGTAGATGGGAAGCCCACTATCCCCAGAGTACTAATCAGTGCATCGGGTCTCTTTCAGAGCAGCAGGATTGGAGGGAGAGGAAAGCCCAGGAACTGTTTTCTACTCAGGCCATTGGTGGTTTGATCAATGGTTGTTTTATACTATGTTATGGTGTGGCTGTTTATATATTGTTTTATGGTGTTGTTTTATGAATTTTAGTGTACTATATATTTTAACTATGTTGAATGGGCATGTCCCCATGTAAGCTGCCCTGAGTCCCTCCGGGGAGATGGAGGCAGGATACAAAAATAAAGTTGTTGTTGTTGTTATTGTTATTGTCCAGTCCCCCCCCCCCAGGCTTTTTTAAATGGAGTGGGTGAAACTGCACCTGCTTGTGTGATAAACTTGAAAATGGTTGATTTCGGGCGAAAATGCAAGAAAGATCAACATGTGATAAGGAATTACAAACAAAACTATTTGCTTTGTAGCGCCTACAGGACTAAACACCATGGTTTTATGATGCTACACTGCCCCCTCCCAACGGGATAATGTCCTAGGTGGTGTAGCTATATTTCAGAGGAAGGAACTGGTCAAATCACTTCTGAGTATTCCTCACCTAAGAAAATCCAATGAAATTCATGGGGTCTCAAGTTAACAGGTGACTTGAAGGCACACTGTCAGCCTGCCTGTTTGTGTGTGTGCGCGCGCGATTAAGCATGTTTCTTTTTGTTTTTGCAGCAATACACTGATTTACGAACATTTTCTTGTGCATGTTTCTTTGTTCTGTTTTTGTCTTTTCAGAAGGCTTGACTGCCATCGTTGTATGTCTTTAGGGGAGACTTTTCTTAATGATGCCTTATAGATCATATCCAATGCATGTAATGCTGCTAAGATTAGAGACCTAGATCTTAAACAGACATGTATATGTTCAAATGTACAGTTTCCCCCCAGTAAAAATGTGTGTTAGCCAAATATGTGGTCTGAAATGTAACATTGTGTCTGTGTATGTGCTTTCTAGTTGTCTGCCAACTTAAGGCGATCCCATGGATTTCATAGGATTTTCTTAGGCAAGGAATACTCAGAGGTGGTTTTACCTATTACTTCCCTTGAATAAATCCAACGTAATTATAAACACGTGGTCAAAAATCAATTCTTTATAAGAAAATAAAATTGGTTCTATGAATTATTATCTTCAAAAACTATATAGTTTTAAGATAAGGTAGGTAAAGGTAAAGGTTTTCCCCTGACATTAAGTCCAGTCGTGTCAGAGTCTGAGGTGTGGTGCTCATCTCCATTTCTAAGCCGAAGAGCCGGCGTTGTCCATAGATACCTCCAAGGTCATGTGGCCGGCATGACTGCATGGAGAGCCGTTACCTTCCCACCTATTGATCTACTCACATTTCAGGCATTTCTAATTATTTCTGAACAAATGAATTTACTGGCTTGCCCTTACGTAGTATGAAAGAGCCCAGATGTCAGTTGGTAGTTCCATGGTCAGTTGTACAAATGAATGCAACCATAGAATTTAAGATGAATGTGGTTTTCAGCCTTTGGTCCTTTGGGTGTTTTGGACTTCAGCTCCCACAATTCCTAATGGGTAAACTGACTGGGATTTCTGGGAGTTGGAGTCCAAAACACTTGGAGGACCAAAGGTTGAGAACCACAGGTCGAATATATAATCTGTCTTGAGATTGTAACATGGAATATAAATGAAACAGTGATGCAATGATCAGTAACGATATATGTTGATTGCCAGTGTGTTGCCTGTCTTGAGAACTACTTTGAGAAGATTAAGTGCTCACTTAATTTTTTTCTCTACAGAATTATGGCCTTGAAACAGACAACATGAAGAATTTGGTTCTGAAGTTACGAGCGTCTTCTAACAATCTGCAAAATTACATCAGTAGCCGGAGAAAAAGTTCAAATTATGATGGAAATACCTCACGCAAACCCCCGAATGAATTTCTTACCTCAGTAGTAGAGCTCATTGGTGCTGCCAAGACTTTACTGACATGGCTGGACAGGTATGATAATAAACTTCATGCTATAAAACAGAAAAAAGTAGAATTTATACCTGGCTTAGTGAAATAATTTCATTTCCCATACCTGCTCCCCAAATCATTTGGCTAAAGCAGATTTTAGAGGATGTTAACAGATAAATGTCCCTGCTACTTCAGCTTTTTGAGACTCTTACTTTACAAGTAACACATGCATTGGATTTAAAAGTATATTTCCATATGCTTTCCTAAGGATTGCTTACATAGAATTAGGCCACTTTGTGCAATCTTTCAGGACCCCAGACATTTCAGCCATGAAAATATGAGCAATTTGTGACTGACGGTGCAATCCTTGTGCATGTCTGTTCAGAACTAAGTTCCTTTAAGGTCAATGAGGCTTATCTCCATGCAAGAGATATATAGAGCTACAGTCTCAATTTTCTCTTCCCTCCTTGTATGATTGAAGGGAATTGTGGCCAGAGTAACAAAGTTTCCGAAGCAGGAAATGTTCGTTTTTCCTGACTAAAATAAATCAGTGGCTGTGGTGACAGCTGTGGGGGAAGACAACAACTATCTGAGCAAATAATGCCACAGTTTGAGGTCTGGTGATAACACCTCTTGCATGCCGACAGCCATTCTGCAAGCCCTGCTTGTAAGGCAGGAAGTACGTAGGAGAGATCACGAGAGAGGCTGTGAAGCTGACAAGATGAAGGGGAGTCTCTGAAATTCCTTTGTCCTAACCACTACTTGGACTGGTTCTTTGGCAGTTACTTAGATTCTTCCTTCCTGCCTGCCTTCCTTATTTCAAGCTCACCATGTGAAGATAAACAGTTGGATCAGCTATGCATTTTCAAAATTAATCCTAATTTGCTTCTCTTACTGGTCCTCTTGAAACAATGATTCCTAAGCTCTAGGTGTTTTTGGACTTCATCTCCCATAAGCCTTAGCCACTTTAACCAGATATTCATGGAGCTGAAGTCCAAAACACCTGGAGGACCAGAGTTAACCAAAGTTAACTGCCTTTAAGGGAGGACATAGCTATCTTTTTAAATACTGCAGAAAGAGTTGTCATGGGGAAAAGGTGTCTCGACAGAAGCTTTCTCACCAATCCTTGTTTCCACAACAAGGCACATTTTTCAAAATCCAATGATCACAGGGACAGAAAGTGAGGTGAAATCTTCTGAACAGGGGCACAGACAACAAAACAAACACCACAGGGGTGTTAACCCTTCCCTATTCTATCCAAAGCTAAAACGTATATTTTTGCATGGAGTTCCACTTAAAATGTACTTGTTTCAACTTATATACAAATTCAACTTAAGAACAAACCTACAGAATCTATCTTGTTCATAACTTGGGGACTGTCTGAATTTTGTTTTTCAAGCTGTGTTAAAAGGCTCATCAGAAGCTTATCACAGAGATTAGATAAAGGTAAAACAAAGCAAAGCTTTTGGGATTTTTTAGCCCATTTCGTATAAGAATTGAGAAATTCTTATTTGCCTATTAGTTTTTATATCCCCCAATGATCTCAATGGGGGGGGGGATAGATATCCTCCCCCCCCCCTATTTTATCTTCACAACAAAGTTCAGAGTTGATATTCAAGGCCATTGTTGTGTTACTCTGTTTTAGCAAAGACATTTGTAAAGGAATCTAGTAGCATCTTTGAGATTTAACTAGGAAGAATAAAATTCTAGTGTAAGCTTTCATGGATACACTCTACTTTGTCTTTTTATCAGTAGTAAGTTTATGCTGGAAATGTCTTGTTCTCTGTTAGTCTCAAGGAGCTACTGGATTGTTCTGTGGCTGAACCTACATTGTAGAGTTAATGTGGTTTGACATTACTTAAATTGCCATGGCTCAAGGCTATGGAATCCCGAGAGCTGTAGTTTGGTGAGGCACTGGCACTCTTGGCAGAGAAGGCTAAAGAACATGTAAAGCTAAAATTCCCAGTTTGGTGTCATCTGCAAACTTGATAAGCATGCCCTCTAAACTTTTATCCAAATCATTAATAAAGATGGTGAACAACATTGGGTCTAGCACAGAACCCTGTGGTACATGGAGAATTGATTCTAGAATGAAAACATTGAAAAGAACTACTTTAAAATTCATTGTGACAGAAGAAATGTGAAGTAAAGAGAGGAAACTAAACAAACAAACCAAAATGAATTTCGCATCTGGTTCCCTTCAGACCAGTGTGCAAAATTTAGAATTTTTGTGGATTCCCAACTCCCAGAGTTTCCCAGACAGCATGGCCGGTGGCCATGGGAGATTCTGAGAGGCGGAGTCCCAAGCTCTCCTAAAAGAGGTGTTGGTGAGAGAAATTATATAGTTAATTATGGAATTGTTGTTCAGGCATTGTTTTTTGTGTGTTTTATCTGTTAAAAATTGAATTTAAAATGGCAAAAAAGGATAGGTGATGACTGAGCTACCAGTTCTTAAAACATTTTTGTTTCTGATCTATTTGTACTTTCAAATAATGTTAGGAGGTTTATTTTACACTGAATTAAAATATTCCTGCTGAAGTTCTTTGCTGATCCATTCTTGAATTGAAGGCCTTGCTATGCTGTGTGCTGTTTGTGAATTGCCCTTTAGAGATTTTCTTTTTCTTTTCTTTTTTAGCCAAGCAAACATAGTCGACTTTTGTGTACACTTACTTTTTTTTTGATCCCTTGATTTCTGTGCCAAAAGATAAGTGTTGTTTTTCCCACTAGACTAGCAAAGTGCTCATCATTGTTTACTTTCTCGCACAAGTCAGCTCAAACCAATTGCGCCTGTGTGAGAAAGTTTACTGCACTACAGTTGGAGGGGGTTGTGATGTTGTGAATATAAAGAAAGAGAAAAAGCTTTATTTTCTCCTCTTCCCCATAACACGCTAACAGTGTCTGAGATAGACCCAGTTCAGGTTCTCACTTCCTTTATTTTTAGGTAGAAATAAATGGCTTCTTAACTATTGTGCTCTTGACAGGCAAGAATGAATGAGAATGAATGAAACCCATGTGAGGAGGGGTTGTAGGGTCATTTTCAGTCCTTGGAAAAGTTACTTTTCTGGATTAAAACTCCCAGATCTCTTCAGGCAGTATGGAGATATTGGCTGGGAGGTTCTGAGAATTTTAGTCTTGAAAGTGCTTTTCCTGAGTCCTTCATATCAGAGTGTACAGTACTAGGATAAATGGAAAAGTGAGTAAAGGTTGTTTTTCTTAATGTTTTCATGATTAATGTGGTATTTTAAGTGGACAAAGGGCGTTAAAGGTTCCCTATTGAGGTTTCTTGGCCAAGGTTGGCCTTCTTTGCCATTCCTAGGGATTTTCTTCCAGTGGAAATTTCATAACTGCATTATTTACATATTGCAAATTACAACTGATGCTAACCTATTTTTGGGAGAGTCAGTGTGGTGCAATAGTTTGGTTATTAGGTTAGGACAATGGAAGACCAGGGTTCACATCCATGTTTGGTCATGGAATCCTACTGGGTTACCTTGGGCAAGTAATTGATTCTCAGTTTCGGAGGATAGCAAAAGCAAACAGCCTCTGAACAAATTCTGCTAAGAGAACCCTATGCTAGAGTTGCCTTAGGATCTTCATAAATCAGAAGTGACTTGGTGTGGGTACTTACATTCACTCTTGAGGAATTTTACTTTTTTTGCTTCTACAAGTGGCAAAAATGTGACTGGAGAAGCAGCATCAAGTTTGGAAGATAATACTGTTGTTAGATTCATTTAAAGTTTTAGGAATGTATTAACAGAACTTTGTTTGTAACTGCTTGCCAAGGAATCTGTTCCTTTTCCTTCCTATGTTTGCACACAGGTCTGTATAATTGCTGTCTTCTGCATCATCACTGCTGGGACAAAGACCTGGCAAATATGCTCCCCGGGTCACCATCAGCACAACTCCTCTTTCCCCTCTCCAACCCTAATAATATCTTCAGCAAATTCCAGATGATGGAGGCAGGGATTTGTATCTCACTTTGGAAGGCATCACATTGGCCATAAGGATGCTTACTCTTACCCAAGTCCTGTACAAAGTGAAATGAAACACCTCCATCTTCATTATAACACCTCTGCTGTACTTGAAGGGCTCTGTTTTTCCTCCCTCTCTCCCTTTACTTAATAACAAAGAGAAAAATCCCAGAGAGAGAGAGAGAGAGAGAGAGAGAGAGAGAAAGGACTCAAATCTATCCTTGAAGTTTCTGCAGAAATCCCTCCTTTGAGGAGTGCAGAACAAATCTGAATGTCTCTCAGAAGCTTGAAACCAATTATATACAAGGCAGTAGGGTCAGCCTCCTTGTTTTGAAGTAAATAAATTTTCCCCCAACAGGGCTGTAGTAGATTTGGCAGCAATATGTGGAATGCAGCCCCTAAGATTTGGAGGTGGTATTACTATCCCAACCAAAGAGGTTGGCAACAGTCAGAGTTGCAGGAAGGGGTTCACATTCGGCCCTTTCTAAAAGACCTTAAAGGAGTGGTTTTCAACCTGTGGGTCCCCATGTGTTTTGGTCTACAACTCCCAGAAATCCCAGCTAGTTTACCAGCTGTTAGGATTTCTGGGAGCTGAAGATAAAACATCTGGGGATCCATAGGTTGAGAACCACTGCCTTAAAGGATCTCACAGCTCTTAATAATCAAAACAATGTTGCCCCAAAATGTCCAATAGGAGACCTGTGGAAGCATTTCTTCTCCATTTTAGTAAAAAAAAAATGGACTAATTTAGCAAGACAGTACAGACCATTTTTATAACAAAAAGTGACTAGAAGGTTCCCCTTGAGGTGCCTGAGGACCTGCAGAGTCAAATTGTGACATCTGACAGGATACAGCTCACAAAGAAGATCCAGGGGTCACATGTGGCCCCTAACTCCTAGAACTTGCCTACTTCAAACCCTGATAGATACCACTTCTTTCCACTTGGCAGGAGCTTGGGCAAAAGCCGAACATATTGTACATTAGAAGTACTGGCTGCCTAGTAAGTCAAGATACAATGTTTACATTATAAGCCAGTGGTTCTCAACCTGTGGGTCTCCAGGTGTTTTCGCCTACAACTCCCAGAAATCCCAGGCAGTTTACCAGCTGTTAGGATTTCTGGGAGTTGAAGGCCAAAACATCTGGGGACCCACAGACTGAGAACCACTGCTATAAGCGACCATGAAAACAGTTAATACCTAGCTAAAAAGATGTTTGGCATTTTAAACATTGACAGCTAAGCAGACCTGTGGTTACCTATGCTAAGCTTGAGGTAATGACTACTGTTGTGTGGCATATTTTTCCTTAAAAGTGCATTCTTGTCTTACCACAGGACTCCGTTTACTGGGATAGCTGACTTTTCTATGACAAAGAACAAAATCATTCAGCTGTGCTTGGATTTGACCACCACTGTTCAGAAGGTCAGTCTCTCTGTGTGTTTTAAGGGTTAGGGATTTCCTCATTCTTTCCATGCTACTAAAAAGAAGTCAAAAGGTTGGATGATTAGAAATAACCATCATGTAATTTTACATGTAGCTTGGAAACAAGTTGAAGTCTTGGATATATTTAAAGATCATTATAGCAAGTGTGTACAGGCTATTGCCAGGTCTCTCCTATAGTATATGTTAAATTATTGTCCTTATTATTTTGAAGTGTTGTATTTTGGAATGACTTACTATTAAGTTAGAAGTGTAATAGTTGGATTGTCATACATCACACCTGGCTACCTCCCACTTACTCTAAGGGTGTGTGTGATTATGAACCAGATTTAGTTAATTTTTGTTCTGTTCAAGTATTGCTCATGGGAGCCATTGTTTTGTAGTGGCTTGAGTGCTGTACCAAGAAACCGATGCCATCGCACAATTATTGGTTCCAGACTGGTTTTTGCAGCCTGTTGAGTCAGTAGAGCACTCTGTCTGCAAATTATAAATGCTCGGCCCAGAGTTGTGATTTCCTCGATTCCATAGGAGAGAAGCATTTAAAGTGGAATAACCATATTATAAACATGTAGTGTGAATCAGCCCCAAGAATCAGAGGATTTGAATTCCCACTTAGCCATGGAAATCCAGTGGTTGACCTTGAGTAAGTTATCCTTAGAGAAAGGTAATTGCAAAACCTGCTCTAAGTACATCTTGCCAACAAAGCCTTATGATGGGATCACCAAGGATTGGTGTTGACCTGAAAGCACATCAACACAAGTATTATTCATTTTCACTTGTTTCTTTATTTATTTCCTTTTATGAACTTTCGTCTTATACAGAAGTGTCCTGCATAACCCTGACTTGTTTTAGCAAGTGTATCATTTCACATAGTGTTTTATAATGATCAATATGCCACAGGTTAATAAAACAGGCTGGCTTCTCTAACTGTTCATTTGTAAGAAGCCAGTACATAGTTTCCTTGTTATGACAGTTTATTGACTACCAGCTTGTGTCTGTGAACACTTCAAAAAGCTGGTTCTGACATACAAAGCCAAATATGGCTCGAGTCCACATATCTGCAGGACTATTTCCTCTCATACACCCCTGTTGAGGTTCTGAGTCCTTTAAGAAAGGACTTTTCTGGTGGTTGCTCCCAGGAAAGCAAGAGTGGATTCCTCCTTGTGGTCTTTCACCAGAGAGACAAAGTTCTTTCTATTTCAACGGGGTTTTTTTTTTTTGAGGGAAACAATCTGTTTTTGAAGAAAGAACTTTCAAAAGGTTCTTTACTGCTTTTTAACTGTTTTTTTATCCTTTTATTTTTCTAAAGGTTGTTTTGAAGCATTTCTAAAGTTACAGATTATTTTATTACATTTTAATGATAATGATTTATCTGCACAGCATTTGTTTTCACATTGTGAATCTCTTTGTGTACTGGTTTATAGGAAAAGTTATTAATTTATTTAATTTATATGCCAGCTTTCTCCTGGAGCAGAATCCAAAGCAGCTTCCAAGCACAGTAACTTAAAAACATTTACAGTCAAATTGTAAAAACAATTAAAATCTGTTCATAAACATTTTAAGAACAATTTTAGAACAAACAAAAGGTTTAGAAGATAAATAAAATATCCCCACTTATACATGAAAATCCTGCTTAATTAAGAATGTCTTTGTCTTCGAAAGGAAACCATGGAGGGAAAATAAATTAATAGCAGAATCTAAATTAGAATTTTCTTCTTATACACCATTATGGTGTGAAGGATGCTCTCAGTATGAGGAGTCATGGCACATATTAATGCATGTGTACTTGTTTTTCTGGCATTAAAGTGCTTTTTAGACTGATTACTTTGAGCAGAACTTGACAGCACTGCTGTTCTCTCTACTATTCTTGGACTGAATTGAATGCTGTGGACTGTAGCTAATTGGTGTCATGCCATTAATGGAGGCCTCTTTGATCGAGCTCATGTCTATCCATCCTGCAAAACCTCACTCTGTCACATCCTGTGGCATCCTTCTGAACATTGTGAGAAGTGGAGTATGGGGGAGGGAAAAGGACTAGAAGTCAATTCTTTCCTCCATAGAAATCTTTTGCCAATTAGAATCACTACTGACTCAAAGTGTCTTCCATCAGTAGAGTGTGGGAGGAAACCTTTAAAGTCTAAACTAGGAAGTCACTCTTGAATGTTGCTTAGGCATTTCTTCAAAAATGTAAGAAAGCAGTGCAGTCTTCTAAGTTCTTACTTCAAAGCCTTCTGTTGAGTCAGTACTGCATTGTTTCATTTGTTTATATTTTCCTGGCTTCAATTCCTTGAGTAGAGGATTTCAGATAATACCTTTAAGATCAAATGCTTGAAAGTAGAATTACTTTCTGAATCAAATTTTATTGTCTAAACTGAATTAATACTGGTGTGGGGAAAGAATCAGGAGCAGCAGTTTCCTTGAGCAAAAAGACTCTCATCGACTTCCAAAGCCAGTCCAGATTAGAATAGGATAACATGCTGGAGGATGCTTTTGAGTAAGCTCTTTGCCTGTTTTCTATGAGCCAAAATGCTCTCTAGGATAAATCAAAAAGTTTCTAGATCTAACTCATCGGGTATTTTAAAAGTATGTATTTGACAAGGAGGGGAAATTCCTCAATGGTAGAGCACATGCTTTGTGTCCCGGTGTGTGAAGATAAAAGTGTGAGTATTGGATGTGGGATCAAAAGACCCGCCAACAGAGTGCTATTCCTTGTTTTGTAGGGCTTTGCTACCCATTGTTTCAACTTGCAGAGTCTTGAATCCCCTTCCCCCAAAGTCAATCCAGTCACTGCAAATAATCCTGATGCAGTCCGCAGCTTCTGCAGGCAAAACTGGAAAAATCACATGTCTGAAATCTGAGAACTTAGGTGGGGAAATAGTGACACTGTCTGTGCCAGACTACACCACCCATCAGTGCCAGCGCCAGTGGTGAGAGATAATGGTGATAATATTGTCCAATAATCCTGGAGTTGAGTGTATGTTCCACACTCTGTTTCTGTAGAACTGCTGCCAGTGCAGAAAAAGATGAACTAAAAGCTTAACTCTTTAGAAGGTAGAAACCTATGATGTCATTAACAAACCACAAATGTGCCATATGTACCATTCTCCTTTACACAACCATTTGATGAACCTGAGCTGCTTAAGAAGAAACAAGGAACAAGCATTTTGAATAATTATCAAAGGAGAAATTTAAATGTCACTAATGTTTCACACATCTCTTACTTACTGCACATGAAGACTGTATCAAAGCATCTCTTTGGACCTACATGGGATCTCCCTGTAACAAAACATTGACTTTCCTCTTTTTTTTCTTTTTTTAAAAGGACTGTCCTGTAGCTGAAATGGAAGATAAAGTTCTCAGTGTGGTAAGATTAAAAGTTTGTGTTAAACTCATACTTTGAATGTCTTTGCAGCTATGTTTATTAAGGAGCTTCAGAAGAGTGACAGAGACTAGAGCCTTGTGCTGCCTTTTTTTCTGTGTTTCTGGTAATCATAGAATTGTAGAGCTGGAAGGGACTAAAAAGGCCATCTCAACCAAGCACATATTATGTAGAAATACACATCTAAGCACTCCTGAAGGATGGTCATCCAGTTTCTTTTTGAAAACCTCTAAAGAAGGAGGTCTTTAAATATTTTAGTCATTTAAGATAGAACTCGTTTGTAATTGTAAGAGCTGCAGGCTCCTTCTTGACTCTTGACAGAAACACTTGCAGCAGTTCCGCGTGCTCACAATGGGCTAAATCAGGCATGGGCAGCCTTTGACTTTTCAGGTGTTTTGGACATTTTAGGGCTAAATATAAGAAGGGCATGTGGAGTCATAATTCATGGAACTTCTAGTCTGTGAGCCAGAGGTGATCTCCTGGAGTTCCATATCTGCCCATGTGATGCTTCTGTTATCTAGCTGGGAACCAAAGATAAGAACATATTTGAATCTTTGGTATCACACACACACACATATCTGAGTAGAATTTTGAAAGTAATAGGCTATTGTATTTGAGTAAACTCATATGCATGGAAATGCTCTTTGCTCTGTATTCTTGGAGAGAAAAAGTCCAAGAAAGGATCATGTCAAATCCTACCCATTTTGGACCCAAGTGCAGCTATGATCCAATCCCTGGGCAGAAGAAGGTTTCTCACACCTGTTTTCTCATTCCTCAACCTTCTTGTGTTGAATGATGAAATTTCAGGATAAAGGGGGGGGGGGTTGCCTCCTTTAACGGAGAATAGAAGCTTTCAGGCGACCAGAAACCTCTACTTTTTGAGGGTTCCTGACTGAATGGAAGTTTTTCATCTTCCAATAAATGCATGATGGGGCTGTGTTTCAGATCTCACCATACAGGAAGGTGAAGAATTGAGCGGATGGGGAAGTTGTGTGAGGGGGATGATATATATTCCCTCTCCAATTTTAGATCTGATAAGAGTTGGCCAGACTCCTATGGGAAATGGGAATAATAAGGGTGTAGAGATATTATTTTGGGGAAACTAAAATTCCCATAATTCTATGCCACAGCTAAAGACTTCTGTCTGAAGAAGAAACTTTCTCAAGCTATGCTTATTTCTCATTCGAGTAATTAAATTGTTCTTTGTCTTCCGTTCAGATGTGTATGTTTGCCTCCGTTCTGCTTTGTATAGTTTAAATGAAATATTGGGGGGTTTTTATTACTGCTGGAGCAGTAAAGTTGCAAATTTATTTTGTTTTGCTTACGGAAGGAGTTGTATATTCTTCACAATTTATTATGCAGACACATAGTTAATTTCCTTAATTAAACATTGGGATGACAAATTCATAGCACACAAAATGTTGAAGCACATATATTCTCATGACTGGTGCAATAATACTGTCAATAAGATAGCATAGCAAGCTTTGTTCTGATAAAAGATGTACTTAGCATAATACAAAAATATGTTTTTAATTGCACTTAATTTGAAAGGGGAGTTTTCCAAATGTTTTTGCAGCCGTCTTGTGACTGGTGTTGGGATGCAGTGACATACTTTTAATATTTTGTAATTGTTAATCATCACTTCCTGCTTTTGACACAAATCAGGCTGTGTTCTTTGATAAGGCTTCTGCCTGCTGATAGATGTTTAGGAATGCACAATGACTAAAAATACACACACCTCAATCAAATGTAGAACAATTTAGTTTTTCCATACTCACTCTTATTAATGTATAGTGGGTGTTGTATGATTTTATTTTTACTGCAGCATTGATTTTTTTTTAAAAAAAATAGCTTTCTCAATTGTGTTTTCACTGTGCTGATTATTAGGAATACTGGCTACATTTGGATATTCATATTTCCCTATATATGAATAATAAAAACAGATACTTAGGGTTAGGAGGTGCTTCTCCAGTAAGTTCCACTGAAATTGCTATTTTTCTGCTAAGACTAGCAGCGGGGGGAACATAAGTGGTATCAGGGAGAACATTAATTTGGGAGAAAGTTTCATTTTCATCTTCTTGTGATTTTTTCATTGCTGAGAGTATTCTCCTGCCTGTTGCTGCTTGTAGCATTGATGGGACCACGATTTCCATAATATGTGAGCTGGACTTTCACCCAAAACATACCAGGGCATTGTGGACTCCTTCCTTTTAAGCAAGTATTGTGGTCTTTGCTGTCCTATACTTCTAAACTGCAAACAGCTGTGGCCCTTTGTAGAACTAATTAATAATGCTGTTTGAATTAGTAGGGCTTACAATAATGACACAAAGGATCACAATTTTCTTACTAGTTGAGCAAAGGCATCTTGACAGAGTAATGCACCCAAGAGTAACTATTCTATCCCCCCTCCTGCATTTCTTTAGAGGGAGATAAAAGAACGTATGCGTGACACAACATAATATCGAAAAGCAATTTTGTAGCTCAGGTCTTTTTTTTCTTTCAGTCCAAGGTTTTAAATGGAATTTGTGATAAAACAATCAGGTCAACAGCAGATCCATTGATGAGCCAAGGAGCATGTCTTGAGGAGGTTCATTTAACCAACATCAAACCCGGAGAAGGCCTGGTAAGAATGTTTTCCTTCTGTGTTTCTCAACTTCAACTCAGTGCTCCCCTTTCAAGCTCATTTATGGTGACTTAGTCTTTGTGGAGTTAGTGCAATTAAATTGGTGTGTAAGCACACACTTGCCAGTCTCCTGTTAGTAACATATGCAAGCATAATTTCCACCTTCTGATTGCATGTGTGTGTGTGTGTGTGTGTGTGTGTGTGAGAGAGAGAGAGAGAGAGAGAGAGAGAGAGAGTGACCAAAGCCTCTTCCTTCATATTTCTGTAATAGTCACCCGCAATCACCATTTCATTGCTAGTGGAGAGCAGTTAAAATTGGAGAAATCTCTCATAACCAGAAGCAGACGAATGCCATCTGCTGAGATGATGCAAGAGGACCCTATGGATCTTGGTGGAATATGTCCTCAGCCTGCTTCTGGTTTTGGGAATATTGTCAGATGATCCTGTCATGCTCCTGACCAAATGTGTTTGTGTTGCCGGGGTGGGGTGGGATGGTTGTATTGCAGTGGCACTGTGAGTCTTGGGGTGATGACATCCTTGCTATGTCACATGATGTTGGATCTCGGCTATTCTGTGTTAAAGAGAATGTAGAAGCTCTTACAATGGGTAGCACATTGTGGCTAATAATATTGTAATTAATACTTGCAAGATCACGAAAATCAGGAAACCTTTGACAATGCGGCCATTTTGTTTAGTCAATGAGTGTCAAAATCAAGCAGGATGTAGGGAAATTATCTGAGTATGAATAACTATGAACCTCAGAGTAGTGTGCACTCCACTACACTGAGAAGGATAGTGGTCTGCTTTCTACGTATTTTAATTACAAAGGAATGCTTAGGCTGTAATCAGTGTGGTGGTTTTAAATAGATTGGATCATAATGCCAAGAATACCTCAGCAAGTTGCTAATCTCTTGGTTTAGTTCATACTATTACTTCATTGATGGCCAAAGTAGACTGCACCAACTATTCCTACTCCAAAGCTCCAATTATTCTTACTCTGCTATAGGCTAGTTTTTGACCTTTTTTAAATGCCAGGGTGCAGAGATGGCAGTGGTGGCAGCCAGGGATGGCAGACTCTTTGAGGCAGTGCAGGCACTTCTCCCCCCCCCCCCTGCAGAATGCCTCTCGACTTATCCTTGGGTCATATCAATCTTATACATGATCTCGACTTCTGTATGGTTTCAACTTACACACGAGTACAGTATATACATCACAGAGTGATGAAAGATCTTTGTTTGCCCTAGTATGTGTTTTTCCTCAACCTTTTATCATATGCATTCAGTGGTATATAATTGTAATTAGAAGATATATAGGATTAATTTGGCAATCTTGTTGCAGAAGTGCTTGTCTGGTGTGTGAAATAAATCATGTTAATCATTGGGAATCTAGATTCTCCTTAACATTTAGTTTGTCCCATTGAGTCTGAAATAAGAATTCCTTCCTACTCCCTCATTTATACAATTAAACAGTGTTACATTGGGGTTGGTGCCAAAATGACATGAAGGGGGGATTTGCTGCTAAGAAATAAATGATTGTACACAGTCTAGTAAGCATTGTAGGTGAGCTGTAATTACTGTTGTGCTTATTTTATCTTCTCAATTGCCCAATTTAGGGAATGTATATAAAATCTACTTATGATGGATTGCATGTTGTTACTGGAACAACAGAAAACGTGAGTAATTTTTTGTTCTACTCAAAACATAATGAACGTAAGCTATTTTTAGATAAAAAAAAGTACCCAAGGCACCGACTTGATTAAAAGCAGACTCTGAACCTCATATATTTTTATTCATTCAGATTTCATAACACTGTCATTAAGTTATCCTTGACTATGATAATTAAGTGTGTTCTTGTTTGACTGTATCAACTTGCCTAATATCAACCCATTAGTTCATTTTGCAGCATGCAAATAGATAGTTCAAAATGCCGGTAGGGTTTGAAATAACTGGAATTACCAGAATCATTGTTGAGTGCGGTGCTTTTGGTGTTTGATTTAGTATATGCTGACTATACAAATATGTACTTCCATAGTGTGCTTTGTCTTTTTTAAATCCAGCAGCAGGATGTTTAGACTGGGAATAAAATGTAAGATTCCATATACTTCCTGGAACAAAAGGAATTTTTTCCAAGATAACAGAAACCAACCTTTTTACTTGTAGAGCTTCTTAAGAATTGAAAATAATGGCCCTGGGGGAGGTTTGAGAGGGTATGGAAATTATCATAAGAGTTTTGTAACTTCAAGCGAGGTAATATTTCTTCTGAACAGAAAGATGACGACTATTATTCATCTGGTGGAAATGGCAGGAAAACATGGAGTTGTTGCTTATCCTGAACATTTCTTTTATACGTGTCCATGTTTCAATCTTATCAGAATGCCTGACCACAGTGGCTTTGAGTACAATTTAAAAAACAGTTCCGTATTTGACATATACAGTATGTCAAGGTTTTCTAACTCCATGAACTAGTTAGGTGTTTGATTTATAAAACCCTCTTTCAATAAGAAATAAATATATTTGAAGAAATGAAACGTTGGCTCCCTCATATAAAAGAAACAGAGTAGAGTAGTGGTTGCAATGTCAGAATATGTGAGGTCCAGGTTCAGTTCTCCATTGAATTACTCACTGGGTGGCCTTTGGTGAGTCATGCACTTTCTTAACTAAACTGTCGTCAGAGGATTGTCGTAAGAATAAAGCGGGGAGTAGAAAATCCCATATACATCATTTTGAGCTCACTGGAGAAAGACAGCGTTGAACTAAAACAAGCACAAACAAAATAACCTTTGCTTCCTTTCTTGGGCTAATCCTTATCTCTCCAGAGGACTAAGGGATCTACAATTACCATATTTTTTATTATTTGCTTTGCAAGTAGTAGTATCAGATGTAGAGGATAGACATTTCACTCTCTTCCTCTTTCCCGTTTGTGTAATCATGTCTTTAAAGGAAAGCTTGAGATAGCTGTTACTGAAGCCCTTGAGTTATTCAAGAGGAATGAGATGTGTCTGGTTACAGTCAGGTGACAGGATTTCCAAATTGTTTTTAACGACTTGTGATTTCCTGCCTTCTGGTGGGAATGCTCTGGTCCGAACAAAACTTTCTGGTCCTCATCCAAATGCTCATGATGGAAATTTTGTGGGCTTTGTGTGTTTTCTTAAAATGGATGACTTCAGCAAATAGATGCTTATTCCTGACAGATATTCCTTGTGTAATATGTATTTTAGACCTCAGTTCTTTGACTCTGTACTAAGAGGCAAAATTAGCTGGATTCTTTCAAAAACAGTCATTTCCATGCCAAAGGAAGGGAGTTGCTCATTAGGGCTGGAGATTCCCTGTCTTTCCCAACATTTCTTTCTTTCTTGAAGTTCCTGCTGGGTATATAACTTTATCTCCTGATTCTGACTCTGTATGATCGGAATGTCTTAGATCCGTCAGGAGGTGATGATAGGTGAGAGGATATTTCCGAGGGAGGTTTTTAGTTTTCAGGTCATCCAAGGAAAATATCCTTTATTGTGCTTGATAAGAGAATGGGGGAAATGAAGCATTTGTTTCAGTTGTATGAGTCACATGTACCAGCTGAGTACCTTTTTCCTTTCTCTCTGACGTGGGTTGTCAGGATATTGTTGGCTGTGATGTTGTGCTGCGGTATCAGAGATACTTTAATGAACAACTGCAATAGGGGACTTTGTTGTGGACCAAGGAGAATAAATATTTGGGTGCTGAACTGCTACTTGCTGAGAGGTCACTAAACATGCCATCTATCTTGTTAGGCATTCAGATAGATGGTTTTGGGGACTTCCTTGAAGATCTCTCATTAAGTTGTCGGCACTTTATTAGGTGACTTATCAGTAAGAAATCTGCAAATTGAAAAGATATATGTATAACCTAGTCACCTTTTAAAAAAGACCATGTTGTTCAGATGGAGAAGTACCACTTATTGCCAAAACTTTGATGGGATAGTATTCTTAATCACCATAAAGGGAGGTTATTTAAGGTGAGACTCTCAGTGATGTCTTTGGGTGCTTATGATACTGCGTGAAGAGTCCTTTCTGTTTCTGTTGTTTTAAGAATCAGTTGCATGTGATGCTTCACACACCTAACTGGACTGGATTATTTATTTATTTATTTATTTATTTAATACACTTGTATACCGCTAATATCTCAGCCTAAGTCGGCGACTCATTGCGGTTTACAACAATTAAAAACAATATACAATTTAAAACAACAACACATAGACAATACAAATTATTGGGCCACCAATAATAATACCATGTATCTCGTCACTAAAATCACAGTCCAGAATTCGTCATCCATAATTAACCAGTCCTTAGTCCATAAAATTCGGTGATAACAAACTAACCGAATGCTTGTTTACACAACCATGTTTTTAATCTCTTCCGAAACACCATCAGCGAAGAGGCTGATCGTATCTCTATAGGGAGGGTGTTCCAAAGCCGAGGGGCCACCACAGAAAGGCCCTGTCTCTCGTTCCCGCCAGCCGCACTTCTGAAGCTGGAGGGATAGAGAGAAGGGACTCTCCAGAAGATCTTAGGGTCCTGGTGGGCTGATAGGCTGAGATACGTTCGGATAGATAAGTTGGGCCAGAACCGTTTAGGGCTTTAAAGGCCAAGGCCAGCACTTTGAATTGAGCCCGGTAGCATATCGGCAGCCAGTGGAGCTGGTGCAGCAGAGGAGTTGTGTGCTCCCTGCGCCCCGCTCCTGTTAGTATCATGGCTGCCGCCCGTTGGACTAATTGGAGCTTCCGCTGTCTTCAAAGGCAACCCCACGTAGAGAGCGTTGCAGTAATCAAGGCGGGATGTAACCAGAGCGTGGACTACCGTGGCTAAGTCAGACTTCCCAAGGTACGGTCGCAGTTGGCGCACAAGTTTTAATTGTGCGAATGCTCCCCTGGTCACCGCCGAAACCTGGGGTTCCAGGCTCAGCGATGAGTCCAGGATCACACCCAAACTGCGAACCTGTGTCTTCAGGGGGAGTGCGACCCCATCCAACACAGGCTGTAACCCTATACCCTGTTCGGCCTTACGACTAACCAGGAGTACCTCTGTCTTGTCTGGATTCAATTTCAATTTGTTCGCCCCCATCCAGACCGTCACAGCGGCCAAGCACCGGTTCAGGACTTCGACAGCCTCCTTAGTAGCAGGTGGAAAGGAGTGACAGAGTTGGACATCATCTGCGTACAGATGACATCACTCCGAAACTCCGGATGATCTCACCCAGCGGCTTCATGTAGATGTTAAACAACATGGGAGACAGTATTGAACCCTGAGGAACCCCACAAGACAAAGGTTGTGGGGTTGAACAGGAGTCTCCCAGTAACACCTTCTGAGACCGACCCTCGAGGAATGAGTGGAGCCACTGCAGAACAGTACCTCCCAAACCCATCCCCGCGAGGCGTCCCAGAAGGATACCGTGGTCGACGGTATCGAAGGCCGCTGAGAGGTCGAGAAGCACCAACAGGGACACACTCCCCCTGTCGAGCTCCCGACGCAGATCATCCACTAAGGCGACCAAGGCTGTCTCAGTACCATGCCCCGGCCTAAAGCCAGACTGTGCCGGATCCAGATAATCCGTGTCTACCAAGAATGCCTGGAGTTGTGAGGCCACCACACGTTCCATGACTTTGCCCAAAAAGGGGAGATTGGAAACAGGCCGATAGTTGACGAATTGAGTGGGGTCCAGTGATGGTTTCTTCAACAGCGGTTTTATCACAGCTTGCTTTAAGCTGGCTGGAATTTTGCCCTCCCGAAGGGAGGCATTAACCACCACCTTCACCCACTCGGCCAATCCCCCTCTGGCCTCTTTTAGAAGCCAGGATGGGCAGGGGTCTAGGATGCATGTGGTAGCTCTCATTCCTCCAAGCACCTTGTCCACATCCTCGGATTGAACCAATTGAAATGAATCCATCAAAACCGGACAAGCAGATGCTCGTGTTACATCCTCAGATACTGCCGTTAATATGGTGTCCAGTCCAGAGCGGATCAAAGCGACTTTGTCTGCGAAGAACCGAGCAAAAGCTTCACAGCGAGCTGCCGAGTCCTCAGGGCACCCGTCCTGAGTGGAGGGTTTTAATAAGCCTCTGACAACTCGGAACAGTTCAGCCGGACGGTTTTTTGCAGACGCAATAGTGGCCGCAAAGAAAGTTTTCTTTGCGGCTTTTATTGCCGCGGCATATGCCCTTAGAAAGGACACAAACCGTGTTCGATTTGGCTCGCTCGGATCCGAACGCCACACGCTCTCTAGTTCCCTCTTCCTTCGCTTCAACGCTGCCAGCTCCTCAGTGAACCAAGGAGCTGGTTTAGCTCGGCTACTTGAGAGGGGACGTTCTGGAGCGATCGTGTCTATTGCCCTAGTCATCTCCCCATTCCAGAGAGCGACCAGAGCATCAACAGGATCACCAACCGAGGTGGCGGGAAATTCCCCAAGAGCCATCAGGAATCCATCCGGATCCATAAGCCTCCTGGGGCGGACCAATTTAATGGGTCCTCCACCTCTGCGGAGGTTGGGGGGTGCAGTGAGTCTAAAACTGACCAGGTGGTGGTCGGTCCATGGCAACGGAGAGATGGATAACTCCTCAACACCGCCACCTTCCTCCCATCCCTGACAGAAAACCAAGTCCAATGTATGTCCAGCACTGTGGGTGGGGCCAGATACCTGTTGGGACAGCCCCATGGTTGCCATGGTAGACATGAAGTCCTGAGCCGCTCCCGATGAGGCGGACTCGGCGTGGATGTTGAAGTCCCCCAGCACAAGCAGCCGTTGGGACTCCAACACCAGGTCCGAGACCACCCCCGCTAGCTCAGTCAGGGAGTCTGTAGTGCAGCGAGGTGGGCGGTACACTAACAGAATCCCTAAACTGTCCCGGTCACCCACCCTCAGGTGGACACATTCAAAATTTGTTGACTGCGGGATGGGGCCCCTGGTCAGAAGAATGGAATCTCTATAGACCACTGCAACTCCGCCTCCCCGCCCTCCGGATCTCGGCTGGTGCTGCACAGAGAAGCCTGGTGGGCAAAGCTGGGTTAAATTTACACCTCCCGCTTCGTCCAACCAGGTCTCTGTGATGCACGCCAGATCTGCCCGTTCATCCAGGATTAAATCCTGGATGAAAGTTGTTTTACCGTTGACAGATCTGGCGTTCAACAGCACCACTTTCAATCCGGAGGGACCGCCATCCTGGTTACACCAACTTGTCATATCAGGAGACCGCTTTGGAATTACTAACGTTGTTCCACGTTCCCTAGGTCGAATTAAAGGTCTCCCTTTCCCGTATCTCCCCCTCCCCACCACGACTTCTATGGGGGCTCCCCGGTTAGCGGAACCCTCTCCCTCCTCCATGACGCATTGAACGGCCACAGTATCAACAAACAATTCATTATTAACTATATGATATGTTGTGGCTTCAGATTGCCATAGTCCTACCTTCCAACCACTTTCCACTCCTGCTTTGTTAAACTCAGATCTTACAGATCTATTCCGTTCCCACTCTCCACCATAAACAATCAACAACAAAATTAACAATTGCCAGGGCAATGTCATGAGTGGTAGCTGTTAAGCGCTGTCGGAGGAGTTTTCCTAAGGTTCTTAAAGTGCAGATGATCGTTCAAGATGGTATAATTAACTAGAGTGCAATGGCTTTCTTACTCAGCTTTAAAGTGCTAAATAAAGTGCGTCATGGAGGACTTAACTTCAAACGCTAGATGGTTCGTTGGATCAATTAAAGTGCTGAAGCTCAATAAATTATTGGCCCAATTTAACCACAGAGGTAGTCAATTAAAGTGCTGATCGGGTAAAGTGCTAAAATCACATAAAATAATAGTACATTTGCTTATTAGCAGTACAACTATTAGTTCTTAGAATCTCCGTTCAAACACTGAAATAGTTATTGTTATTAACACAATGAGGGTCGTCAGCACTATCAGCGATGGTTAACAACGTCAGAGGAGGTCAACACAAGCTGGTCGCAAAGATAATTAGCACAAGCAAAAAGATGGTCCACACAATCAAAGGCGGTCAACACAGATGAATTTGGCAATGGACAACACAAACTATCTAAAATTCTGTCTAAAATTGAGCACAACGAGATGCCACAGTAATCAGGCCCAAGGATGGTCAGCACAGTTTTTCCGGAGTTAATACAGATAGAATGGTGGAATTTTCATGTGATAGCGGCAAGTTAAACACTACTCTAAGATGGTAGCAAGATGGTCGTTGCCAGCAGCTAGTTCTATTGTCTGATTGTCCAACGGGAGTAAGTCGCTTCCAGGACCTGCTAAAGAGCATATGCTCAGGCATTGGAAGGCTGACTAGGCCCTGGAAGAACTAACCGAGCCTCAAGATGGCGGCAGCGCGTTGGAGGATGATGCGGCCAGAGCGTTGGAAAGCTGGCCGAGAGCCAAATCCCAAAATGGCGCCGTTGGCCGCCACACAGCAATCCAGACGAAAGTCACCGGAACGCCGGAACGGAGTCCACAACTTTGTCAGCACCAAGCTTCGCCAAAGCAGCAGGCGGCCGGGGTGATGGAGGACCGAAAACCCAAGGGACCAGGCAGCTGGAGCAGCAACGCAGCAGCGCTCCCTCCCGGACCCGGGCAATCCTTCCCCTGCAGCCTCAGCCTCTGGGGCAAGCAGGTGTTGTTGCTGACCTTGAGCTGCAGAGTCAGGGCCTCGGTTCTGCCAGGAGTGAGTCCACAGGGCTGAGCCAGAGGCAACAGAAGAAACAAACGCTGCCCCTTCCCACAAAGCCCCTGGTGATGGTACCTTCACTTCTTGCTTAGCGTAATAGTTCTTTAGTGTTCTTTCTGCCCTGCACTTGTACATTTTTTTGTAAACCACCTTGTTGAGAGTAGAATAATGATTTAATTCATAATAAATTAATATGAATAGCTTTGTAGAAAAGGGGAGTTCTGCCGCATCATTGCTCATACTTGTACTGATAGAAAAACTCTTCCTGAAGTTCTGTTGATCTCTGATTTTTGGGCAGAAAGTCAGCAAAAGGACTTTGTTTGTGGTAATAGATCATTGCAACAGTTTTTGAACATCTAAGAACATCTAGGAGCCCCCAAAACTGAATCACACATTTGGATACTTTACTTTTATGTTATATAAAAGTCTTTAACATTCAGTTCCAGTGAAGTATAACCCACTAAAAGAGATTTCATTTAGCAGCATTGAGGCGAGAAGTATGCACAGAACCTGCTGGTAGGAATTTTTGAGAGTTATTGACCTAAAATTACATATTTTTTCTGAGTAGTATTTATGCAGATATAAAAGCAGGTAGCTTGATTCTCAATTGTGGGAGTAACTAATGAGTTACTTAGAATAGTCTCACAACAAAGATCTCCTGCAGAAATAATGACCAGAATCAATGGTAGAGTGGCACTGATGAAATCTTTGTTAAGCACTTTGTTTAGGAAAACTTGGTTCCCAACTCCAGTAACCCAAATTACTTGGTCTTCAGTTGCCCCCTGCTTTTTTTGTTCCCCAGGGCTTCCATGTTTTAGGCACACTCTTTCTGCTAGGATGTTTTGCTGCTCATAATGGCGTAACTCCTGTAGAAATGACATCGGCATGCTCACTGGTGTTTCTTGTTTGTCAAAGCTCTCCTTCTCCACATAAGCAGGTGGCTGCTTGGTAATTCTTAAGTGGCAAAGTTAATGGAAACATGCATTTCTGTTCTTGTCCTTTCTAGTCTCCTGCTGATAAGTCTCAGAAAATCCATGCTGGTGATGAAGTGATCCAGGTGAATCGCCAGACTGTGGTGAGTAAATGTCATTTTGTGTTGTCCTTTTTCTTGGAATTTAGCTAAGTGTATTTCAGAATATGAGTGGCTTATAAAGCAGATTTTTGTTTTGGTTTATGAGTGGTGGGTGCATATATTCTTGTCCCCCCCCCCCTATCATTTATGACAGACGTGGTCAAAGTATCATCCTTGGGGCTCCTTGCCTTGATTTCTGAAGTGCTCCAAATCCTTCTTAACTCCCTTTTTTGTTGAAATCTTTTTCAGGCTGATTCTCAGGCTGCGTTTGCCTGAAAACTGCCTTACAAATTGCCCAAATTGTGTCCTTCTCAGCCCCCCCCCCCCCCCGAGCCATCAAAACAATCAGCCAAAATGGTGGCCACAAGAGATATTGTATCACTTTGGGTATGCTGAAATGTGTTGGTGTGGCCCCTAGTCTATAGTGAAAGGTTATTTCCCTAGTGGCATTGTATAGGAGATATCCTGATTACCGTTTGCAATTATGTAATTCATTTCATTTGGTTTATTGTGAAGGTGGGATGGCAGCTGAAAAATCTCGTGAGGAAGCTCCGTGAGAATCCTTCTGGTGTTAATTTGCTAGTGAAGAAACGCCATACAGGCTCTTTCAACTTTACTCCCGCCCCACTAAAAAACCTAAGGTGGAAGCCACCACTAGTTCAGGTAATGTGAATTGCCAGATGGTGGTGAGTAAATATTATTTTACACTAGCTTGGGTACCTGGCGTTGCTCGGGTTATTTGAAAAAGTCAATTTCTTATTGTACAAAATGTGAAAGATGGTTGGTGAACTTCAACTCAAATTTGCCAGGTTAATCCCATCAGTACTTAAAAGTTTGTTATGTTTGTCAAGTTTGCTCTAGATGCATTAAGCAGTGAGGTTCAGTGTACTCTCTGGCTGTAGGGTAAACTACAACTCGCACTATGGTTAGTCAGTCCCCTCAAACCCCTCCAGTACGTTGAGTTAGTCATGGTGAGGTCTGTGTGCCATGTTTGGTTCAGGTCTACCACTGGTGGAGGTCACAGTTTCTCTGCTTGTGGGTGGAAGAAAGGTCAGTTCCCCCCAAACCCCTCCAGTAATCAAATTTCGGTATATCAAGTATTTGTGCCAAGTTTGGTCCAGATCCATCAGTGTTTGGGTTCACAGTGCTCTTTGGATGTAGGTGGACTACAACCCCCAAATCAAGGTGAATTTTCCCCAAAGACCTCCAGTATTTTTTGCTGCTCATGGGGGTTCTGTGTACCCAAGTTTGGTCCAATTCCATCTTTGGTGGGGTTCAGAGTGCTCATTTATTGCAGGTGAACTATAAATGCCAGTACATACAATTCAAAAATGTCCAGGCCAATTCCCCTCAAAATCCACCAAACTTATGCATGCTAAGTTTGGTCCAGATCCATCATTGTTTGGGTTCATAGTGCGCTCTGGATGTAGGTGAACTGCAACTCCTATAAATCCCTTCAAAGATATCTGGTATTTTTATTGGTCATGGGGTTCTGTGTGCCAAGTTAGTTCCAGGTCCATCATTGGTGGAGTTCAGAGTGCTTTTAGATTGCAGGTGAACTATACATCCCAGTACCTACAACTCCTATAAATCATAGTGAATTCTCCTCAAACCTCTCTAGTATATTCAGTTGCTGATCAATTCATCTGTTTGCAGTGTGCCATAGAAAATAATAGGAAAGGGTTAAGGGAGAGGCAGTGGGCAGGTTCATGCAAATTCCACACCAGTAGAGAGAGTAAGAAACACTGGGATGTCTGTGGTGGTGGAAACACATGAAATCTAGGATGAATTTGTCCCCATATAAAAACCATCAAAAGTTCAGAATAAAAGTTCAGAATCAGTGCCCCATTTTTGCTTTAAAAGTACAACTAGTAATTGTTCCCAGTTGTAGTTTTAGTGCTTTAGAGAGGTTTGGGAGTGTTTAAGTATAATCCAGTTTTCCTAGATGCAGTTGGGAACAGCAAGTTGGCTGTTACATTTATTTTGCCCTGAACAAAATTGGGAAGGGGTCAGTTGGGGGTGCAAAAAAGGGGTTGAGAGATCAGATCATATTTTACATACTCTATTTACATTTTAGGTGAATGTCCTTTATTGTCTCATAAGTTGGGGACAGTTAATAGAAGGCTGACATTTTGTCTATCTATTTAATAAGGCTCATATTAAATTTTGGTAATATTTAAAACTCCACCATTTCTGAACTTATCCCTTGATTGAAATGTCTTAAGTCAGCTAAATATGCCAGAAAAGCAGTCTTACATGGATTGAGAGTTATGTGTTGGAGATATGGGGTGAGGCTGCATGTTTTCATGATCTCCTAAAAACAAAACACAAATTCCCTGCACATAATCAACAGCATTTTAGGTTAGCCTTAACTCTGACCTGACACTTTCTCATAGGCAGTTGTTGTTTTAACATGGAAGAGCATTTTACTCAGCAGTTTTTGTCCCAACTTCTTGTTGTATAAAGTGGTAGACCAGGAAAGCCTGGACTGTACTAGACACCTACTGCATGCTTGAATCAGTTTTTTTGTTTAATCAATTTAGAGTTGCATGAGATCATACCTTTAATTAAGCATAGAAGACAATAGGGAACCAATGCCCGTGTTGCAGTTTTGCAGTTCAATATGCATATACATATATACACATATATCTCCTGGGAAAGAACTTAAATTTCAATATGAATTATCATTATTTTACATCAGTAATTAAATTAGTTAAAGTAGTTTTGCATCTATTGCTGTGTGGAATACAAAAGAGCCAGTGTTTTGGAAGATTTTGTAAAAGCTCCTTTTGCAAAAAGAAAAATAATCTTCCCGTTGTAATATACCAAAAGAAGTTGGGAGTAGGCGGGAGAGATGACGTTTTTCTCTTTAATCCCTGAAGGAGGACATTGTTGATTGGGACAGATATCTTATTGAGGCCATTTGGGGCCAAATTGCTTATAATCTTCTGGACAGATGAATTCTGAAGTAAACAGTAAATGCTTGCTAGGTTGAAAAACTACTGTCAAGAGATTATATTTGCTAAATAGAGCAGCACTATCCAGAGTATTCTCTATAGCCTAGCTGAATTGTGATTCCCCCTGCTTTTGCTTTGTTGTATCATGGGGTGTCTGCATTTGCCAGCTGCTGGTATCAGCAGAAATTGAGACAGGGAGGGTGTGGAAAAGGCAGGAAGATTAATAGCATTAAAGAGATGCTGATTTTTGACTTCCAGTGACCTTAAGGAGAACCTATCCCAGGAATATGGTCAAACAGGTATTGAGAAAGGAGGGAGTAGGTTGACACCTTCAGGAAGTTAGGAAATAAATTAATGTTATAAACACAGACATAGTTCTCAGGATTCTTCAGCTATTACAGGTACTTTTTAGCTATTGCTGTGCATAAAGATGCTGCTGTAGTTATTTTTCTGGATAATGTTCACATGAATTGCTGGAAAATCTAGTGTGGGAAACTGAACACTGAGAAGTAGCTCGGAATAAAAAAATTAAAAGATTTGTTGCGAAAGTAAAGAGTGTGGTAAGCCCAGCCTTGTTCCTAATCCCTCATTGAATCAAAAGAGAGGTCATACTGGTAGTCTGTGAGCAGGTCAAATACAGTTTCTTGCCTAATTCTAAATGATGATATACCTCAGAGGTTCTTCCACTTGATACTATTATAGATTCAATTCAGCTGCCATGGCTGCATACTGTGGAGACCTGGAGTATGTACTGTATCTACTCATGTATAAGTCTACCTTATACATGGGGGTCATAATTATTTTTATTTAGCCTATGGATAAGTCAAGGATCATTCTGCAGAGAGAGGAAAGAGTCAGAGCAGACTCAGGTCACCGCCATGATTTTTCTAGGCATTCAAAAAGACCAGAAGTCAAACCACAGGAAAGAGTAGAGGGGGTTGGTGCTTCTTTTAGGTTCTTTTGGGTGGACTGAGGTCTCACCTATCACCACTACCTTCAAAGATGGTTTCTTTTTTATCAGAGTTAAGTTACACAACTTCCATTGGCCTCTGAATAAGTCGGGCCAGGTTTTGGGAGTTGTTGTTTTTTATTTATTTATTTATTTATTTATTTGCTTTGCTTTGCTTGTATACCGCAGTTTCTCAGCCCGTAGGCGACTCAACGCGGTTCACAACAAGAGCAAAAAGTCAATCCAACAACATACAAAATTTAAAAAACCATTAACAACATAGAATACATGGTAATAACACATCAATACCAACACATTAACAAATCGTGATCCAAATTCGTCATCCATAGTTCCGTTCCTATATTCCTATATCCTATATTCATCGTGTACATTACACTGTTTATCCGAACGCCTGTTCAAACAGCCAGGTTTTTAGTTTTCTACGAAACACCATTAACGAAGGGGCTGATCTAACGTTTTTTTGGACTCAAATTTCTAGACATATGCATGATTATCTGCAATAGTTTTCTGAGATACTAGAGAAGGGCAAGATGGATGGATATTATCCTTGAAGTGATTGGCTTGACCCTGAAGGAGCTGGGGGTGGTGACAGTCGGCAGGGAATTCTGGAGTGGGCTGGTCCATGAGGTCACGAAGAGTCATAAGCGACTGAACAAATAAACAACAAAGAGATGCCCTCTGACTGAGAATTCTGAAAGCACTGGCTAAACATCCAATTCAAGGATCTCATTACTTGCTGCCATGGAAGTCAAAGTGAAATGTAATTCTATAAGTATGAAAGGGCCCAAGGATGGAAACTGCACTGGAATCATTTCAAGCTAGAGTGAGCCATTAATCAAAGAAATACTTAGCAGTCTTACTAGGTATAAAAGGGATAGAAATCAAATACATAGTTTTGTTAGTCTGAAATATCAGTTTCGAAAGGGATCCTGTAGTACCTTTGAGACTAACATAGAATATGACTACACTGTAGAATTAGTACATGTTAATACCACTTCAGTCAACCTGGTTCAAGGCTGTGGAATCATGGGAATTGTAGCTTTACAAGGTTGTTAACCTTTTCTTCCAAGTAATGTTGCTGTCTCACCAAACTAAAATTCTCATGTTTCCAGAACATTGAGCCAGGACAGTTAAAATAGTGTCAAACTGCATTATTTTTTGAAATTTTAAATTACATTTGGCTTGGCCATAGGTTTTTAAATCCTTGTGTGTTACTGTTTACATGTGAGTTACATCAATTGTATTGTTTTTGCTTATTGTTTTTGTTTTATTGATGTGTTGTCGGGCTTGGCCTCATGTAAGCTGCTCCAAGTCCCCTTGGGGAGATGGTGGCGGGGTATAAATAAAGTCTATTATTATTATTATTATTATTATTAATAATAATAATAATAATAAAAATTCTACAGTGTAGATGCACGTATAGAGAAGAACTCATCTAACTGCCAGGGAGGCAGCATTTCTGTTGTTATTGTGGAATGTCTTCAATTCATTTCTGACTTCCAGTGACCTTAAGGAGAACCTATCCCAGGAATATTCTTGAGAAAATTTTGTGTGGGGAGGAGGACTGCCTTTGCTTTCCTCTCAGGTTGAGAGATCGTGAGTTTCTATGGCCAAATTAAATAGCATAAGCTTTCATAGACACAAATTCAGTAAAAACTAAAGAGCGCTGAGCAGTATGTAAAAAAAATATTGTGGGCCCTCTGTATCCACAGATTCAACAATCCTTCAAAGGTCACCGTAAGGCTGATGTGGCCCTTGATGAAAATCAGTTTGTCACCCATGCTTAGAGTATTAATTCACTCACACACCCTTCCCCTGCATTGTGATCCTGTGGTCTTTTAAATCATGGTTAGGTAGAGCAGAAGGCTGGAAACTCCCACAAGCACCATCTTTCTTTTCAAAGTAGAGCATGGACTTCTGCCTAAGAGTTCACCCATCCAGTTTTGTTTACTAAAGCTTTGTTTTAGAATATTGGAAGTTTACAAAAGTGCTTCTGCTTGCTTTATGGTCTTGGGTCAAATCCAGATTTCAAATATTAGGAAAGGGTGGCTGAAAAAACATCCAAGCACTGCCAGACAAGACATTTATTTTTTAAATGTTACTAGTAGTCTTGTTCCACGCAACCTCAGACAGATGGAGCATAATAAAACCAGAAGACACAATAAATAATCCTAAAGCAGGACAGTTGATCAAATAATCAAGCTTCTCAAGCTCGGCTGGCGGGGACGAGAGATAGGGCCTTCTCGGTGGTGGCTCCTCGGCTGTGGAACGCCCTTCCTACGGACATTAGACTAGCACCATCTCTAATGGTATTCCACAAAAAGGTGAAGACCTGGATGTTTGTGCAGGCGTTTGAGTAATTTAGTGCAATCTGGTAATGGAACATAGGAATGGAACAATGGACGACGAACCTGGACTACGCTTGGATGATGAGAAGATTGGGTACGGTTGTTTTTTGTAATAATTGTGCATTGTAATTGCTTATTGGTAATTTATGGATAATGTGTTAAGTCAATTGTTATATGTTGTATGGAACCACTGCTGTTTCTACTGTTTTTTACTGTTTGTGAACCGCTGTGAGTCGCCTTCGGGCTTGAGATACAGCGGTATATAAGCAAAGTAAATAAATAAATAAATAAATAAATTTCCAGAGGTTTGTGTCAGAAGTGAAAAATGAAGCATCTTGTCATACAGTGAGTCAAATGACTGGTTGAAAGTAATGCTTCTGTTACTTAAGAAAGTTTCTGTTTCTTCTCACAGCAGACCAGTCCACCTCCAACTACTACTCAATCCCCAGAAAGCACCATGGAGACTACTTCACTGAAAAAAGAGAAGCCTGCCATTCTGGACCTCTACATACCTCCTCCACCAGCTATTCCATATGCTCCTCGGTATGCCAAGAGTTCTATATTGCTTCACAAAAAGCTCCCGTATTATTTGGGATTTGTGTATTATTATTTTGAATTTGCTTGCCTGCAGTGCTTCTGTTGTACTAGACTGACAAAATTGCCAATTAAACATATTAATTTTAATTTGTCTTTTGAGCCTCTAAGCATATAACAGCATTACTGCCTGTTCTCTCTGAGTGCCATGAATACCAGAGTATCCTGGGGGCACTATTAACTAAGGTGTATCCTTTGAAAAGGCAAGGTGTGGCAGAAAAAGCAACTTTTCTGTACTTTCTGCTAGGTGTTTGCCCCTCATTTTCTGTTGTTTAGAACTTGCCATATGATAGACAAAAATAGAAAACCAGCACTCAAACTGTGAAAAATGATGATAACTTCATGTTTGCATGTTAAAAACAAATCTAGCTAGGGCATCGGACATTCTCTTGTCTTCAGATGATGGCAAATTCTTGGTTAAAAACAAAGTGGGGAGATTCTGTAGCTACTCAAGGCCCATCCACGGCAGTTTGAAACTGCATTCTATGGTCAATATAGACTTATATAATGCAGTTCAGTGCAGTTAAATTGTTATATGAGTCTACACTGGCCATATATTTCAGTTCCAAACTGTATTATATGCCTCTGTGGATGAATCCAAAGTCAACTGCCTCATCCAAGTAGACTTTAAGGTGTCTGACCTCATAGCCTCTGAGGATGTCTGCCATAGATGCAGGCAAAATGTCAGGAGAGAATGCTTCTGGAACATGGCCATACAGCCCAAAAAACTTACAACAACCTTGTCATGTTACATATTTCAGGAAGCCTTCTTTCCTCCATAATGGTTTAAAGAATGTTGCCAAAAGTATTTCCAGCTTATCTTTCCCTGCCCTTGCATTGCTGTACATTTGCACAGTAAAGAAGATGTGGAATACTAATCTAGGATTGCTAAACAATAGCTGCTGAGATGCTTCACCAAGATTGCTGTTAAGGCCTAGTTGTCATGTAAGGAATATGGAAGTGCCTTTACATGTTGGTAACATAGAAGCCGTGGACCAAAACATACAGAAAACTGTTTCCCATCACCGCTTTCATCTTAAGGACCTAAAGTTTAGGCAGTGACTTTCTTCCTGAAGTATCATTCAGCATTATGTCATCCGCTTACCAAAGCATTTCCAACCAAACATTGTCCTGCCACCCTTGATAAGTAGTCAAGTAGTGTGGATTATAAAATAAAATAAAATTTTAGTTGGACACAGATCTGACACCACGAAAAAGTGAATTCTATGCCATGTATATATTATGCATAATAAGCAAACGTGGCTGACCTCACTTGATGTGCCTGATTTCATTGGAAGCTTTTTGCCTTTTCCTCATGATTTATAGAGCTACTGCTAATCATGGGGCAAAGTGAGCTGCACAGCACTTTTGCCTTGCTCCTGATTATAAAAATCTTACTCAGTTCTTTCTCATTGTTATAATGGCACCAGGGGTTACTCACATATCATCAAGCATGCTTTTGCTTGCATGCAGCCTTAAGAGCTAGAAACTTGTTTTTGGAAAAAAGACAGATGAGATTCTGGGGCCAACATAGCATGCTGTGCTTTTCGTACAATGTAGCATATAATGCCTCTCCATCTTTTCTGTATTTTTGACCAGATTTCAGTTAAAACCATTGAGACCCTGTACAAATGTAGTGTCACAGTGTTTTATGTTTATATTTTTCTAACTGAATCCAATTTCTTTTTTTAGGGATGAAAAGGGGAGCTTCCTTTATGGAGGAGGAAATAAACCGAAGCAGCCCTTACCTGGTTCCAAAGGTGCAGAATCCCCCAATTCATTCCTGGATCAGGAGTTCAGGAGGCGAAGGTTTACTCTTACTGATACTGATCCACTGCCTGGCCATCCAACGGGAGCAAATATGCTACCAGCAAAAATGAGAGAAAAAACACAATCCTATGGTAGGAAAATATCTGTCTTTCCATCTGGTCTTCTTTCTAGGCTGTTAACCATAGGTAGGCAGCTAGTAGCCTTCCAAATTTATGTATTTATTTATTTACCACATTTATATCCCGTCCTTCTCACCCTGAAGGAGACTCAGGGTGACTCACAACAAATGACATTGTGCTTCAGGTCTCATCAGTATGGTGAAGAATGATGGGCATTGCAGTTATCAGCATCTGTAGGACCATGGATTGCCCTAAGCATGATTAAAACTGCTCTCTTACCCCATCCTTTGTATTGAATTTGTAAGACTAAGAAACACAGACTCAAATTACTCCAGCTGCTGTTGCCAACTAGTCTAGACCCACTGGATTAATGAGATGTACATACATGATGACTTGCTATTCAACAGGTGATTCAAGCCATAGCATTTAATGAATTTTTGTGTGTGAAATCACTTCTTAGCATTTGCTGAAGTGAAGTCATCATTTTGAAATGATTTTTTTTTAAAAAAATCATTTGACTAAGTGAGGATGTCAAGAGTCTTTAAGCGATGAACATTGTTATGGAAGAGCGCTAAAAATAAATGGCTTACTATGACAAAGGTGTGCATATGTGAATATGACCCGCATACAATTTAAACTGCAGTCTTTGTATGTATGGAAGAGTGATTCCCACTTAAATGAAAAAGACTAAGAAAACAGAACTGGAATTGTACTGCTAGTAAGGTTTGAGGATAGTGTGCCATTGTCTTCTAACAGTATGTGTGGCCCATTGAGGATTATAGTGTTTGCTAGCTATGGTGATTAAGGTGGTCCTCTGTGTACACAAGCAGTTTATCTCTAAATCAGGAATTAGAAACCTTCAACAGGAAAGATGAAACCTCACTTTCATGTGAGCACTAATAATCATCTTACTTTGGAGCCCCCGGTGACGCAGTGGGTTGAACCCCTGTGCCGGCAGGACTGAAGACCGACAGGTCGCAGGTTCGAATCCGGGGAGAGGCGGATGAGCTCCCTCTATCAGCTCTAGCTCCTCATGCGGGGACATGAGAGAAGCCTCCCACAAGGATGATAAAAACATCAAATCATCCGGGCGTCCCCTGGGCAACATCCTTGCAGATGGCCAATTCTCTCACACCAGAAGCGACTTGCAGTTTCTCAAGTTGCTCCTGACACAACAAAAAAAAATCATCTTACTGGCAGTGTTTATGCATTTATTTGAATATTGATTCTTCATAGTTCAACTTTCCTCCAATAATGGGACTCTAGGTGAATGTTTTTGGTGATGTTGTTGAGTTGCTATGTCCTATCAAGTCAATTCTGAGCTCTATCATAAGGTTTTCCTAGCAATATTGAGTCAGAGGCGGTTTACCATTGTCTGCCTCTTCGGATGAGGGAGTCACTTGCCCAAAGTCACCCAATGGGTTTTCATGGCTAAGCAGAAATTTCAGGCCTGATTTCCTATAGTCCTAGTTCAACACTAAAATTGCTACTCCATACTGGTCCTCCAAGGCAGGTTACAAAAATTAAAACACCGTTAAAGGATTTACAAAGAACTAAATTATGTATATATACATATATAGTCATTGATAAAATAAATATTTCATACTGTTGAAACACTTTAAAACTGATTTTAAAGCATAAAAATTGGCACAACTCACAATTAAAAAGACATAATTAAAGGCACTTGTAATCAGTTTTTTAAAAACCTATTAGAAGAGAAAGGTTTTCACTTATTGATGGGAGGACAGAAAAATAGGAGATATCTAGCCTCCCTAGAAAGAGTGTGAGAGCAACCACCCAGAAAGCCCTCTCCTGGGTTCCTGTCAAACAATCCTATGTAGTCATAGGATTGAGAAAAGTGGTACCCTTGGAGGTCTTTAAGCCTGACTGTTTGAGTGTACTCCAAGATTCAGCCCTGACTCTGGAGACCTAGATTTCAGAATGTCTGTGAGGGCTTTTGCACAGTTAAAGCTAGTGCATCAGTTCAATTTAACTCTGATTTTATGTTATTGTATTTCTGGAAACTTTTTTGTTGTCTTCAGGAAAGCCTCGCCCATTGTCAATGCCAGCAGACGGGAACTGGGTGGGAGCTGCAGAGCCTTTCTCGAAGCCCAGAGGAATGGGGAGAAAAGGTGAGGAAACAATGTTCAGTGGGAGGTCTACTGCTTTCTTGGAAATACTTCTCTCAGTGTGTTTATGGTAAAGGATGGGCCACTGTACAGAGAGACTGCCTGGATGCTGGGAATCCACTTGTGTGTGTACTGCCGAGATGAAAATAATACCGCATTTACTCACCTTTTTTTTTTTTTACTAAATTACCATCCCAAAATTAGGATGTGCATTAGATTTGCATAATATGGTAAATACTTTTTTGGGTTTCAGGGTTTTGAAAACTGAGGTGTGCATTAGATTTGATGACACATTAGACTTGAATAAAGGTATATTTGAAAAATGGTCAAAAATGTGTTTCTTGAGTATTGGGGAAACTCTGATAATGGGAATCCTAGTCGGACAAGATTCTTTGAAGTTTACACAAAACATATTTCTGAAAAAAAGGTGTCCTCTACAGGAAGCAGCATTTTCTGAGCAGAAAATTCTGTTTTCTATGAAGTAAACCTGTTTTCTGTAAAAAAAAAAAAAAGGCATTTTCTGCACGTGCACGCACCCACAAACACCAAAGAAGTTCCAAAATCTGAATTACCATCAAAAACTATGTGGTTTTTGGTGACTTTCTCACAATCAGGAGAAAGATTACAAAGGAATTTGTTTTTACTCGTGAGTCCATTTTGTCTACAATGTCATTGCTTGAGAAGGAGCCAGCTTAAGGAGGGGTCAGTTTTATTAAAATGTTAGCAAAGTATTCTCAAAAATATTCAGATGATGGCTTCTGGTAATAGTATTCATGAATCCCCAGCATTAACTAAACATACTCTAGTTGGATTCTAAGTTGTGTGGGAGCTGGAATATTAAGACCTTCATCTAGCTATTAGTTCCAGCTGGTGTAGTCTTATTAAATCAGTGAAACGTACAGAAGTGTTAGCCATTTAGCTATTGAGCCAATGGGTTTTCTGTACTCAGGGTCAGCAAATGAACTTAGTCCTACGTATGTTATGGGTAATACATCTAATCAGCTCTCCCCAATCTGACTGTCTTGGAGAAACAGCCATGGCATAATAGTAAGGATGTACATTTTGAAAATATTTGTTCTCTCAGGAGAGATAGAATAAGTCAATTATTTTTCTCCCCACTGCTGACATACTTGAAAATTATGCAGTTTCTGTGTATGTTGGGGGAGTCTCCAGCAGCAGCTATCTTTTGCTGAGATCATCTCTTGATAACCCCCTCACCCAATTCTGCTAACACTGGCAGGCAAAGATTAGCAGGCTATAGCCTTCCAGGAACCTCTCCTGGTCTCGGACTCCACAGTCCCCGTAGCACATTCATAAAAAAAAAGTGGTTGAGGGGAGGGGGAGTCAGGCAAGAATGGACAGGCTGAAGTAATCACAATTCTCACTTGGCTCCCTGTCCACCTTTGTGTGACTTTGAAGGAAAGAGGAGGATCAGCAATTGTTCTGTTCTGTTTATGATGATGCAGATGTTGTCATTGTGTTTCAATCCTCCTTGCTAAACTGCCCTCTTGCACCTCTCAGCTTAAAGGAACAGGAAATAGGTGAGGTCTGGGAGCATAGTCTTGAACCATCTTTACTGAATGCCTTATCTCAACCACTGAGACTTGAAGTTAAACACAAGGTTTTCTAAATGTCACTTTTGCATTGCAGGTGAAAACGTTCTCTGCCGCTACTTCAGCAATGAGAGAATCCCACCTATAATTGAAGAAAGTTCCCCATTGCAGCACCAGTTTTCCAGGCCTATGGCAGAAAGGCAGTTAGTCAGGGGCGCAGACTACATCCGAGGAAGTCGGTATTTTGTTAACATGGATCTTCACAACAGTGCCACCATCCCTTTCCAGGAGGATGGTGCCAAAAAGCCACCTGTGCCCCCCTCCACTACAAAGTCCTCTTCAACTGAACCCTCCCTGCTGGTCAGCTGGATCACACGGCTCAAACTATTGACTCACTGAGTTTACTGACTGGACTATGATTATTTTGGTGATGGGGAGGAGATCTGTTACCAAGTGCCTTCCCCTCTCCATCACTTCTAGGTCAAGAAGCTCTGCATTATCTACAGAGTTATTTAGTAGTTAACATGTTTTTTTTAATTTATCTACACAGAGAAGCTTGCTGTTTTCCCAGATGTTGCTGTATCAAATTCACTGGAATTGTAGTGTGTGTGTGTGTGTGTGTGTATAAAGAGATGGATGTGAGAGAAACCATAAATTTTAGTTTATCTGCTCAAGAATGGAGGGGAGTTCTGTCCTCTGAAGAAAAGTTATCAGGCTTGAGTGATTCTGACGACCTGAAATCCACGTGACTCATGCTGAGCAATCTCTGCATCGTAATGAGGCCTGGTGGCACTTCATTTGCTACAATACTCTCAATGTCGTGCAGCCTACTGGACGTGCAGCTGATGTAGCACTCAGCAAAAAGCCTGAGCTGCAATCCTGAGCAAGAAAAAAGAAGAGAAGGAGACGTCATTCCCCCCTCCTTTTAAATGATGTGTTGGGTATGGCAAGTGACTGCAGACAACTCAACTCTAAGGAATAAAAAGGCAGTTTCTTCCTTTCTTCTGATAAGCTACAAATGTGAGCTTCTTCTGGTTGATATCCCAGTTGTTAAAATCTTAGTGCAGTTCAACTACTCTTCCCTGAATTGCTGCAGTTCTCATCCAATTAAGATATGGATTGCTACAACATGCCAAGGAAATGCATCTCTAGGGACAATGGTAAAGACAAAAATATACTGTTGTTGTTTTTTTAAAATCCATAAATGATGAAGACTGAATAGCTTTTAACCAAAGTGTTCTGAAAAGAACTCCTTCGGGGTTTTGGTGCATCCCGAGTAGTTCAAGGTTGAACTGGTTTGATCATATTTGTGCTTTAAAGACCGACTTGTGATAAATTAACACTTTTGTAAGATGGTTTTGACAGTTTTTTAAACCATTGGCAGAAAAACTACTTTGCTCTTATTGATTTTAGTTACATTTGGTCAGAATTTGGGTGATCTGTACAATGGAGAATTTGGAAAAGTCTTTGGATGTTAAGAATTTGTAGAGAAGTTTTGTTAGACGTGCAAAGAATATTCTGTTTAAAATAATTTAAAAGTTTATAATTGTGCTGTATTTTTTAACCTTAAGCAGTTTTTACATTTCTTTCTTACAGAAGACTACTACAATTCTGCACTAATCAGCTAGTGTAAAAAGCTGTTAATTTCCTTACCCACAGAAATAACAATCAAATCATGTCATTTGGATAGTCTCAAAATACCTCCCGGGCTTTTATTCTAGACTGAAAAGATTTTACACTGCTATTTAACATTATCAGATTGACCTTAAAAAAAACTGTATTGAGCAGGTCTTCTTCCTTTCCTTTTAAATAGGTCTGGGATATATATTTGGAAATGTGTAATTCTGGAAATGATGTTTTTTTTTCAGCTTGGAAAGACAGATGTTAAATTAATTTGTGTAGGAAACTGATACAACTTTATCAGATTCACTGGATTTGCACTAGTTTTACCATTAAAAATACACATGTTTATAACTCAAAGTTTGATCCAGTCTTCACAGACAAAAGCAAGTAATGATCTATCTCTGAATTATTGTTCTTTCAGCTATTGGTACCAGCATGATAAGACTTTGTTACCCAACAGCATTTGATTATGTCTTCCCATCATATAAAAATGGTTGGATTTCATTTTTAAAATGAAAATAATTGAATTGAGAGGATGGCCCCAAATGTCATTGAAATGTTACATCTGTCCTCTGTGAAGCTCTAGACAAGGCTGTGGGAGATTATGGAATCTGTCACACAAAGTCCTTGCATGTATCCAGACTCTCAAAACACCTTTTCTGTATATGTGCAAGTATTTCTGTCTTTGGATGAGAGGCATACAGTTTGGTTTTGAAGTCTCTGATCAATCTGATAATGTTTTCACGTAACAAAAGAAATACGTTTCACACTTGCTGTTAGGCATTCTGGCAATCCATAGAATAGATAGTTGAATCTAGTTTGCATGAAGGAGGGGATAATGAGATTGAATTGAGCAGCAGAAAATCCTGGATTCAAAAATTGTCTCAACCGTCAAATAGCTCTGTAGCCTTCGGAGTGGTTCCATCATTTGGTGTTAATTCTCTCACACTGAAAAATTGAGATACTTCAGTTTAAATCAGCCTTTACTATTCATTGCTCTTAAACTACATTTAGAGCAGAAAACAAGCTTGATGTATTGGTTTGAGTGTTGGACTATGACTCTGGAAGTTTGGGATTTAAATACACTTGGTGACCTTGGGCAAGCCCCACCTTCTCAGAGTGAATGAGGATAAAGGGGGAAAACACTCTTTACAAACCTTGCCCAGAAAACCTTATTATAAGTTTACATTAAAGTCACTTAAGTCAGAAGCTACTTGAAGACTCTCAACAACAACAACAACAACAACAACAACAACAAAGCATGATGAATTCTGGTCTTGATTTTACCAGTTTACATTATATTTGGTACTTCTCTTGAGGAATATCACCTTGGCAACTCCTTCCTCTTGAGGCACCCAGAGTAGAGATCAGGGCCCCTTTGTCACAACACAGTTATGCCACTACAAGTCCACTTTTAACTCTATTAGTTTCATTCCAGGTTTGATAGTTTGGTGATGCACAAGATTTCGCTGGCTAAAAATTAAAATTATTTCTCCGAAACACATACACGTAATGCAAAAACAGCCTGTACTGTTTACTTTGGGCATCAGTTAATATGTTTCCAAATACATCTTTCCAAATTTCAGCGAATATGTTTCTAAAGAATGTGTTTCCAAAACAAAACAAAAAAACCCTACTGCTCTATGGAGGTAGAGTTTAGATTAAAATTCTGAAGAGGGTTTTCTAAATAGGCAACCAAAGTATTTACATAGTTTTCTATATAGACAAGCATGCTATCCAAAGTGCAGTGGGTGTTTTGAATTGACCATGGGCTTTTTCTCTGTTTTATCACATAATGCTAGCAACACAATGTGTGTGGGGGCAGGGAGATGTTGCCATCTTTTAAAAAATCTTTGCTCTGGGGTAGCAAGATTGGTCTTGCTTATTTTGCTGTAAGTTTCATGTTGATGAAGTCTGATCTGCAACTGAATATGTAAGGGTTCCTTTTCTTGTTTCAGTAGTTAGTGGTTTGGGGGACATGTGGGCCTCGAGAAACTGGGCTATAATTCCCAATAGGCATAGTCTGCATAACCCTCATCCAAGTGAAATATGATGGGAATGGCAGTCTAGCAGCCTCTAGAGCAGTGGTTCCCAACCTTTTTTTGTCCAGAGACCACTTGACCCAGGGCCACTTTGACCAGGGACTACTCTCCAACATTCATACCAAAAGGATTACAAATCAGTTTTTGGTCAACTTTAGATTCGGTTTGGTTATTTGGAGTGCTGATTCAGAAAATTACATTGGCTAGACCACATCGGCTCTAGTTTCTGATACAGAACATATGCCACCCAGTAGTCTCCATTTGTTCGCGCACAGAAAAACATATTTAATAATCTAGAGCTTTTCCCTCCCAACATCCCCGTTGCCTCGGCATTATAAGAGGGTTTCGCAAGACCAGTCGCTCTCATTGCCATATGGTTTCGAGGCAACGGTGTAGTATGATCAGGCTGCAGACCATATTTTCGTTCTTGCGGATCACCAGTGGTTCACGGACCACAGGTTAGGAACCACTGCTCTAGAGGGTAATACATTCCCCATTCCTACAAACCTCTGCAGAAATATGGTATAGAAATTTGATACTATTACAATTGCAGTGGTTCCATTCTATGGGACACTGGGATTTGTAGTTGTGGCACCAGAGCTCTCTGACAGAGAAACATAAATGTTTCACAAAACTTAAAATTGCAGCATTGGTGCTATGTAGATGCAGCCTTCGTTATGCATTATGTGAAGAAGTGTAATATACTGCATAGTTCTAGGCACCCAGAGTAGATTTTGTTGAGTCTGTTGAGATTCTTGTGAAAGTTAAATGTACATGTAATTGTAGAATAAGTGGACCTATAATTATAACTTTTACATTAAGTGCAGGAACTATGTGGTACCGATCAGAATGGCTGTTTCCCAAACCCCAAAATGTTTTCATCTGCAAGGAAAATACATTGGGATACAGGCAATAGTGGTACATGGCTATTCTCACAGGACCCCAAAGGGTTGTGTTAATCCTTTTGAACCAAAAGGATAAGATGTACTGAGTTATAATGGGAATAGGAAGGTGAGTTGTTATGGAAAGAACTATTTTCCAAATGATTCAAGTTGGCAACTGCAGTTTTATGTAATTGTATTCTCAAGGAAATGAATTAACTTTCTGCTTCCTCTTTTGCAACCACAATTTAAAAGCCATATTCCGTACATGTTCAGGTAGGGAATTAAAAAAGTCAACCATTCTGCAAAGCTGGGAAACAGATGGTAGAAATTGAAAGCTTTACTCTTCAAAGTGGAAACAGAACACTTTCTTCCAAAGTATATGTGTGTGCTTCCTTTGCTAAGAGCAAACTTGTAAAATGAAGGTGTCCTCAGAGAGAGAGAGCTTCACCTCTAAGCTGTTCTTGGAAACCAGTACGAGGTTTAGACCTGGAGGTCAATTCTCTAACCCAGTTAGATCTCATCCTGAAGCAAGGACAAAGCTATTGAGGGAAGGGCAAAAAAAAATAAAATAATTCTCATCCAAATAGATTTTTCCCCTCTTCCATTAAATTTGTCTTCACTCCTCAAATATCTAGCCTTCCAGAGAACGAGACACTGAAAATTGTGCACATATAGGACTTTTACTTCCTGTGTTCACATTCCCTTGGTATCTTTTCTTCAGGTGCCTAAACAGATCTCATTTGCGCCCAACCTCTGGTGTAACTACTCCTGACTTAAAACGAGCAAGTGGATTAGAGTTTTTATACTCTAAAGTAAAGTTTCTCAAACTATGTTCCTCCAGATGTTTTGGACTTCAGTTCCAATTCCTAACAGCTGGTAAGCTGGCTGGGATTTCTGGGAGCTGAAGTTCAAAATACCTGGAGGAGCAGAATTTGAGAAACACTGCCCTAAAGAATCACAAGTTTTGTGTTTCAAAAACCAATCACAGAGAGAGTGGTTACATTCTGTATGGCTAATTATATTAGCTCCAATTATATTAGCTTGACAAACTGTCACATGTGTTTTGTTCTGGTCAGTAGAACTAAATATAAATTACAGTAGAGTCTCACTTATCCAACATAAAGGGGCCAGCAGAACGTTGGATCAGCAAAAATGTTGGATAATAAGGAGGGATTAAGGAAAAGCCTATTAAATGTCAAATTACGTTATGATTTTACAAATCAAGCACCAAAACATCATGTTTTACAACAAATCAACAGAAAAAGTTCAATACACAGTAACGTTATGTAGTAATTAATGTATTTACAAATTTAGCACCAAAACATCGCAATGTATTGAAACAGCAGGAGGCAGACTGTGTTGGATAATACAGAACGTTGGATGAGTGAAGGTTGGATAAGCGAGACTATTGGCAAAGTTTACTTCATCTACCATGAAGGGTGCAATTTGCAGAGATTTTTAAATATCCTCTCACCCAGGCTTGTACTGATGTAAGATGTTGTCCTCTTCATAAGCAAAATATGAACAGACTGAAGACTGTGCTTTTCAAACTCTATTCTTGGAATTTTTCTGAAGCTTATCTGATTCTTAAAGACTTAGCAGTGTGCAGGGTTTCCTTAAAAACAGCTGGCCTACAACTTTTGAATTTCATCTGCATTTTATGAATCTGGACACCAGGTTTGTTCTTTGAACACTTAGTTCATATGGAATGAAGATGATTACACTGTGGCCTGGCATCACGGACTGGACTAGTGATTCCCAAGCTCTAGCCCAGAAAGTGTTTTGAATTTTAACTTCCAAAAGGTTTGACTGCTTTGTCCAATGATTGGGGATTCTGAGAGCTGAAGTCAAAAAAACTAGAAATATTAGTTTGGGAAACACTACACTAGAACACGCCTAGATTTCTTAGAAATATCTGAAGGTTCCATGACAACATCTGAAGAATTTGTCAAAAGAAAAATCAATGTGGAAAGAAATTTCTGTTGGTATTAACTTATTGCTATGAAATTAGATTATGCACTTTGTGTTGTCTTTTGTTAGTGTTTGAAACATTGCTTTTAAGAAGTACTACTAATAGATTTTGGTGCTTTGTCAGTTTCTCTTATTTACCCAATATTTGAAGAATTGGACATTACTTGTATATGATGATGTGGTACTAGCATTAATTGCATTATTTTAATGCTGTTTAATGCATTTTAAAATAGAAAAGTGGTCCAGAATAGAAAAGTGGTCCAAAACCAACCATTTCAGTATTGTGTGTGTCATTAAGTTGTTAACATAATATGACCCCATGCATTTCAGGTTTTCTTAAGCAAGGAATATCCAGAAGTAGCTTCGCTAATTCCTTCCTCTGAAATACAACCTATAGCACCTAGTATTCTTTGGTTGTTTCCTATCCAGTTACTCAGCAGGGATAATCCTGCTT